CCCTGCCTCGGCCCTTGCAATCCCAGTTTCGGCTTTGTCTGGAAGGACGTCCAGAAGGTCGTTCGGCTGTCTGTCTAATTAGCATATTACGCTTTTATTATTATACATAGGGCAGGGACAAAGTGGGGAGAGCAGTGGCCTGTGGATCGGAGTATCATTTATTCATCCATTTAATAAATTTTTATTGAGCCAGGCACTATACTGGATGCCAGAGATAAAGCAGGGAGAAAAATGGACAAGAAGTCCTTACTCACATGTGGCTTATAGACTAGTGGAAAAAGAGAAACAAAACAAATAAGCTAATGAACATGACTGTCACGTGGTGCTGAGTGCGTTGGGAAGCAGGGAGCTGGGGAGGTTGGAAGCAGTAGTGCTGCTATTGTGTGATCGGATGGTCAGAGGAGGCCTCTGGTAAGGTAAAAGTTGTTTTTTTTTTAAATAGTTTTATTGGTGAGGGTAAAAGTTTGAGCAGAGGCCTGAGGAGATAAGCAAGTGACACACGTGGGCATGCAGGGGAGAGATTTTTCTAGGCGGGCAGAGGGAAGAAGCAGGCCCTCCCCCAGGAGCCTGCCTGGGTCTTAGACAAGCTGTATGATGCAGTCCCTCTAGGTCTCCAAGCCTCAGTTATCTAATCTGGGTAATGGGGATAAGGATGGATCTGAGTGCCTGTGACGGGCATGGCCCTGGCCTGGCGCTGAGGAGACTCATTACACCGCTGCTTTGAGGACGCCAATGATGACAGCCCTCCGGCCAGCTGGGGCATCAGCTATGCACAATGCACATCCTGAGCAGCCGCTCCCAGCCAGCCCGTTATTATGCTCCGGGAACCCGAGAGCAGAGATGAAGCCTGGGGTAGAGCCGTTCGTTTGGGGAGGGGGCGCAGTTTGAAAATGCCTGCCTAGGGGGTGCCATCATGGCTGGGCTGTTTTTCCTAATGAGGATAGTGAAGCTTCTTGCAAAAATCAAGCTTCTGATCGTCCTCCCACCCAGAGGTAACCACTACTATAGTTCAGTGTTTCTTCTCTGTTTTTCATATGTATGCAGTTTTTACAGAAGCAGGATCACACCGCATTCCCTGTACTGCTGCACCACTGATGTCACACCAGCAGCCCCCTGAGTCTGTCGGAAACGAAGGAGGACAGGCCCCACCGTGACCTGCTGGGTCACAGCCTGGATCTACTGAGAACCAAGTGCCCAGGAGGCTCCTGCTCCGCCTGCCTCGCTGGTGCCGCTCTTTCCGCAGCCGAAGAACAGCTAGAACGGCCCCGTTCCTCGTTCATGGCTGCGTAGTTTCTCACTGTTTCTCCCTCCTCTGCTCAGAATGGTTGTGTTGAGTTGGAAGAATCGATGAATAAAATGCCACGGTGGGGTGTAGAGAGGCTGATGTTCTGGGCAGAGGAACCAGCATACGCAAAGCCGGGAATCAGAAAGGAAGTGACCCTGAGATGCACCCTGGCCTCGTTCCCCTGAGCTGTGGGTGAGGCCTGAAGGATTGCAGACGGTCTCTCCAAGCACCAGAAGCTGGGCCCGGGGGCCATGAATTCAGTGGGTCACAATGACTTGGAGTCTCCTGTGAGCGCCCAAGGGGAGAATTCTCTCTGGAGCCCCTGCAGCTTTATCATCAACGGTGCTGGCAGGTTAACACCAGGCAGGTTGGCTGGGCCCTTCCTCCTGGCCGGTTCCTGCCTGGGAGCCCCACCCTCAGGAGGGAGGAGTTCTTCTCAGCTCCTTTTGACAGGTGAGGAAACCGAGGCACAAGGAGGGCGATGAGGAGTGTGTCTAGAATCATTCCTTCATTCCTTCTCTCACTCATGTAACCGACCTTCCCCAGGCAACCGAAATGTGAGGCGCTCTGAGCTGGGTCCCAAGGACACGGGCCCAGTCAGCAGCTGCTCTCCGCCACCCGGGGGCACGTGCCACTCGCGAGGGCAGAGGTAATGCCGGGTAAGGAGGTGGCAGGTGACAAGACAAGGACACCGTGATCAAGAGCCCGTTGGGAAGTGGGGAAACGGTGACAATTGCCACCACCCCGGGCAGGTGCTCGATGAGGAAACTGGGGAAACCCTAATGCCACCCAAGGCTCCAATCGAAGGAGACGTTCACCCCACCCTTAAACGGGGACACTCAGGGGGACGGTGCCAGCTCTTCTCCACCCGAAACACACTTCCCACCCCACCAGCAGAGAGTCTGATGGGAGATTTTTTGAGGGAGGAGGAGAAGATGGACACAATCATTCTATAGTTTATCTGAAAAAAAAAAGTACAAGATTGAGAATTGGCAAGACATTCTTTATAAAGCATAATAATGTCAGGGGCTCGTGTTGTCAAGCATGAAGATATATTCCCAAACTGTAATAGTCACACTACGTGCCGTCGTGGAGACAGGCGGCCTCCTGGAGCAGAGTAGGTCTGGACATAGATCCCCACGAGCAGGGCTTATTTCCTGATAAAGACGTGTCTCAAATGAGAGGCGAGGAAGAGGCTTTGGGCTGATGCTGTCGCCTCAGACTTCACTTGGGATGCACAGAGGTGGGGGCCTCTCATTCCCCCAAACATATCCCTTCCAGTGGGGCCTTTGCCTGCAATGGGATTCATTACAACACGCGTCTAGCCCCAGACAGTGTCCCCAGAGCTTTCCTATCCACTATCCCATCTGGTCTTCAAGGAGGCAGCACAGGGTCACATGCATTCTTGAAAACGCTCCCTCCTTCCCCATGAGTCATTCAAACCAATCATAGCAAATTGGGGGGTGGGGGGGAGAGAAAGGGAAAAAACCCCCGTGAGTCCACTAGACAATATATTTATTCTTTCCAAACCGGGATCATAATGTGTATGTGGTTTTGTCACCTATTGAGTTCACTTCACGTCGTATTGGGAGTGTTTAAGTAGCCTTTGAAAACACAAAGTCTGATGGCCGTATGCTCTTCCTTAAGAAGCAGATGCCACCCTGGCTGGTTTGGCTCAGTGGCTAGAGCGTCGGCCTGCGGACTGAAGGATCCCAGGTTCGATTCGGTCAAGGGCATGTACCTGGGTTACGGGCACATCCCCAGTAGGAGGTGTGCAGGAGGCAGCTGATCAATGTTTCTCTCTCATCGATGTTTCTAACTCTCTATCCCTCTCCCTTCCTCTCTGTAAGAAAAGAAAGAAAGAAAGAAAGAAAGAAAGAAAGAAAGAAAGAAAGAAAGAAAGAAAGAAAGAAACAGATGCCATGCCCTGGCCGGTGGTTCAGGTGGTTAGAGCTTCATCCCAATACACCAAGGCTGTGGGTTCCATTCCCAGACAGGGCACACACAAGGATCAACCAAGGAATGCAGAAATAGGTGGAACAACAAACCAGTGTTTCTCTCTCTCTTCCTCTCTCTCAAATTAATAAATAAAAAATTCGAAGAACAAAAAGCAGACACCATGATTAATTTAGTTGTTCTCCTAACGTTGGTGATTTTCCAGACAGCTACTACAACTGATGTTCCTGTAAAGGACCCGCTGGTTTTAAGAACGCCCCTTTCTATTATTTCCTTGGACTAGATTCCTCCAAGTAACCAGGCAAAGGGCACAACACCTTCGTGTCTCGATGGAGACGTTGCCAATGGCTTTCCAGAAAGCAGGAAACACAGGCAGCCGGCGCAGTCTTCCCCCCTTCACCCCTCACCAGCATGGGCATTATTTTCAGTGGTTTTCTTTCTTTCTCTCTTTTTCTACTTTGGCAATTTGCTAGACTCGGTGCCAGGTGCCAGTGCTAAGCATTATGTAACACCCCCTCCCCCACCCCAGAGTGGGAACATCCATTTTCTAGGGGAAGAAGCGGGTCGGAGAGGACTCCCCCGGTGGCCATGGTCGCCGAGGCACAGGCAGTGAGCCCCGATTCAAGCCCGGGCGTCCCCAACGCTCGCGCCCAGGTCAGGTGTCAGCGCGCTTGCACCTGGTGGGCAGCCAGGGCGATCTCCGCGCGCCTCTCCTCTCCCTGCCAGGGCCCGGGTTTTCTAATCGGAGAGAACGTAATGCTGTGGCACCTTCCCTAGCGCTCCCGGCCCTTCAGGGGTAAAGCCCTACCCCCCAGGCCCACCTTCAAAGCCACCCGCCTCCAGGTTGCGGCTTCACTCAGTGGCGCGATGTCTCCCCGCCCCCGGCCTGGCTCGCGCGCTCTCGCGTCCCTAAGTCCAGGCGGAGTTAGGCACCTGTGCGGCCCCCCACGGCCCCGCGGGGTTGCAGTAGGGCGGGTCCTGAGCCTTAGGCATCACCTGTCACCTGATGAAGACGGCTAGGCACCGAGGTCTCTCCCTGGACGCGCGGGGCGGCCCAGGTCTGCGCGTCCCTAGCGCCACCGCGCGCCCGCCGCACAGATCGGCGCTCACCGCGCCGGGAGCGAGCCGCCGGGGCGGGTACCGACCCGCAGAGCACCAGCAGCGGGAACCAGTGACTCCGTCTAGGGACAGAGGGGAGGGGCGTAGGGACGGGGGACAGAGCCGTAAAGAACCCCTCCCGGCGGACCGTTTCAGGGCCAGGATGAGTTTTTATCATTAAACTCAGCCCTCCTCCCGCGCTCCCGAGCCAACACTTCCAAATGGACAGCGGCTGGTTGGACAGCGGGCACATGCCTTCCCCGGGCTGCGCCGCTCGCCCCATTCGGCTCCCGAATGTCCAGCCGTCGGCTGCAGCCCCCTCCCCTCCCGGCCCCGCGCGGGGCCCCCGGATCGCGGGACGGTGGCGGCCGCGGGGAGGTCGGTTGGGGACGGTCCTCCTCGAAGTCGCCCGCTGTGTCCTTCCCGGACCACAGACCCCTCCGGGCGCCAGACGGACCTGGGGCTCACAGCTGCCCCTTCCGGATGCGGAGGACGCGGGTCCGAGGGTCCGCGCGGCCCAGGGCCCCCTCGCAGCCCCGAGTCGCGCCCACCCACACGCGGGCGCCAGGTGAGCGGGCGCCGCCCCGCAGCCGGATTCGCGCGCGGAGCTGGGTCTCGCGACGCTGCCCGCGGCGCGGAACCTCCGGTCCTCCAGAGGGCGCTGCCCGGCCCGCTGCCCGGCCTTCCGAGCCGGCAGCCCCGGGCGGACTCGCGGGAGCCCGGGAGCCGGGAGTCCGAGCCGGCCCGCGCGCGACCCGCCCTGCCCCCGGGGAGGCGCGGCGGCGGCGGTGCGGGTGGAGGCCGTGCGGTTCCCGCGGCCAAAACCGCGCGGGGAAGCGAGGTGCGCGGGCCGAGGACGGCAGCGGGACGGGCGGAAGTCTTGGGGGGACACTGGAAAGGAGGTGCGGGCTGCGGGCAGTGGGGGGCAGCGGGGTCCCGGGCGGTGCAGGGTAACGCTGCCTGCGCTTCTGCAGAGGAAGGGCTAGCGGAACGGTGGGGCGGGGGGAGGGGGGGCGGGGGCGCCCTTCTACTTTGTTCCTGGGCGCGAGGGAAAGGCTGGGGCTCGGTGGGGGAGGTGCTGCTGTGATTGACACAAAGAGGCACAGCGAGAGGGTGGGAGTGTCAGAGGGGCTGACTGTGTGTGGGGTGGGGCGGGGGGAGGGGGGCGCTGGCCTCCGCAGAGAAAGGCCGCAGCGGGTGGTGTATTGGGGTCGGGTGCTCCCCCTGGACCCTGAGAGTTGGAGAGATGGAGGACGGGTTGGGCCTTTGAATTGGGGGCTGTTGGCAGGATTTGGGGGAAATTGGCGGGAGGGTGGTTGGCTCCTGCTGTTGGGAGAATTGGGGGTGTGATGATGGGGCGGGGAGCAAATGTGGGCGGCCTGGGCAGGACTGGGAGAGCACAGCTCAGCTGGCATATTTGAGGGCCCGGGTGGGGGCGGGTGACCATGGACGGAGGAGAGCTGGCCGGGCCTGGGGTGGGGAGCCCAGACTTCCTCCCCTTCCTCCCCAGCCACCATGTTCAACCAGCTCCAGCAGCAGCAGCTCCAGCAGCAGCTCCAGCAGCAGCAGCAGCAGTTGCTGCAGCTCCAGCAGCTGCTCCAGCAGCCCCCACCTCAGGCCCCCCTGCCCATGGCCATGAGCAGGTGAGTTCCCGGGGAGGGGTGGCAGCTCTGGCCCGGCTACTCAGACCCAGGCCTTAGAGACCCCTTCCCAGCCCTTCCGCCCAGAGACCTGACTGTGTGAGTCCTGCAAGTCATCATTTCCCACCCCCAGGAGGGGAGGGTCTCGCTCGAGAAAGAGGCTCTCCCGGTGACACTGACACCCGCTCTCCACACACAGGGGGCTCCCCCAGCAGCAGCCACAGCAGCAGCTTCTGAACCTCCAGGGCACAAACGCGGCCTCCCTCCTCAGTGGCTCTGTGCTGCTACAGCGAGCTTTGCTTCTGCAGCAGCTGCAAGGTATGGCCACAGGCCCTCTCACTGCATCTTAGTGCCAGCTTCCCAGCAGCCCCCCAGTCCCACCAGATCCACAGCGTCACCCTGAGAGGGAGCTGCTGGCGGCGTCCTAGTTTACAGGCAGGACACCGAGGCTCCGGGAGGCGCAAGTTGCTCAGCTGCAGGCGGGTCTGTCTGACCTCACCCATTGTGTGCCCTTGGCCATGTTGCTGGCTCTGTGGACAGCACCCAGCACATTTCACTGACCTTCAGGTTACGTGAGATGCTGGATGGAAAGACCTGTTTTGACCACCCTCGTCTGCATCCCACTTGACAGATGAGGAAGCTGAAAGTCCAGAGAAGGGAAATCATTTGCCCTGGGTCACACCGCACCAACAGTGGCCAAGCTAGACCAAGGCCTGAGCCTCCTGACCCCCTGGATCTCTGAGTGGGTGCTTTAGGTCTGTGCCCTGGCCTCAGTTTCCCCATGGGGAGAGCAGTTTTTCAGCCTCCAGAATGAGGCCCAGAAATCAGGATTTTAAAAAGATTCCCACGTGATTCTAATGTGCAGCCAAGGTTGAGAACCACTGTGCTAGACTCTCCTGCCCCCTGCAGGGTTTGCAGCCAGGGCAGATGTGATGGTCGTCACTCCTCAGCCCTGCCAGGGCCACCTGGGTGTGAATGGTTCTGGGAGCTTACATATAAATGACAGACAGCCCTGGCTGGCATGGCTAGGTTGCTTGGATATCATGCCATGCACTGAAAGGTTGCTGGTTGGGTTCCCCGTCAGGGCACAGGCCTGGGTTGCGGGCTCGATCCTCAGTGGGGGGTTTTTGGGAGGCAGCTGATCAATGTTCTCACATCAATGTTTCTCTCTCTCTCCTCCCTCTCCCTTTCCCTTTCTCTCTCAAAAAATCAATTAAAAATCTTAAGAAATGATAGATAGAATTGTACACCCGAAATCTATATAACTTTATTAACCAATGCCACCCAAATAAATTCCATTAAAAAAATCAACAACAAAAAGAAAGAAAGAAAAAATGACAGATAGATGAGTGGAGAGATAAAACCACACGCAGGGACCCACAATATATGCATATATTTCCCCCCATTTAAAAAGTTACACTCTTCAAAGACAAGTGAAAAGAGCATTTTTAAAAAAGGATAAGAAAACCCAAATTACAGTCTGTAGCCTCACTCACCTCCTGAAGAAAAGAACCACCTGTCAAGGTTTTGGTGTGTTTCCTGCCATTTTTTTCTAGGTACAGCTGTGGGGATTGGAGTGTGATGGTGGTTATTGACACAAGTGAAAGGCTGGATCTTGTTTCTTTCTCACTGAATAGAATGGCATGATCATTTATCGTATGATTGGACAGCCTCTGATTATGTGTTAGTAGCTGTTTAATATTCCATTGGAGGGATGTGCCCTTGCTTACCTAAACCTTCCCAGCCATTTCTTTCTTTCTTTTTTTTCTATTTTAAGTAGCAGTGGGATGAATATCCTGTTTGAGACTATTTCCTTAGAGTGGATTCCCAAGAGTAGAATAACCGGGAGGGCGGGGGATGGGTATTTTATGGCTCTTGGTAAGTATTGCCAAATTGCTTTCCCAAAGGACTGGACCAGTTTGCAATGTCACCAGCCACGTATGACAGTACCGGTCTCACCATGCCCACAGCAACACTGGGTATTATATGCTTTTTTATATATATATACATGTATATACATATAACTTACTAACTTGGTTGGCAAAAAGCTATATTATTGATGTTTTCGTTTACATTTCTTGGAATGCTGGTGCAGTTTAACATTTCATAATGGTCTCTTAAGCGTTTGTATTTCTTTTTGTGACTTGTCCATGCCCTTTGCCATTTTTCTTTTTATTTATTTATTTATTTTTTTGCATAATCCCTTCACTTTTTTCCATCCGCTCCCAAATCCCACCCCCCGGACAGCTTTCATTCTGTTCTCTGTATCTATAAATCTGTTTCTGTTTTGTTTGTTAGTTTATTTTGTTCATTCGATTCCACGTATATGAGTGAAATCAGGTGCCTTTGCCTTTCTCTGACTGGCCTGTTTCACTTAGCACAATGCCCTCCACGTCTGTCTGTGCTGTTGCAAAGAGTAGCATTTCCTTCTTTTTTACGGCGAGTAGTGTTCCGTGTGTAATTGTACCACAGCTTTTTTTTCCATGATGAGATATAATTTTAATTCAACATCAGCTTTGTTACACACAAAAATTATAGTTTAGTTACTCTGTGTTTACATTAAAAAGTTGTAAATCGTAACAGCTACAGCTTCTCTTCAATTGATAGAATGTAACAGAGTTTATGAATATAAAATAAATCAAATGCATCACAACTAATTCCAAAAATATTGCAGCTCCATAGTTTTTTTAATTTACAAAGAACCTAGTTTGTACCACAGTGATGAGTTCCAACGAACATTGTATTCAGCTCTGTACCACTGCTTTTTTATCCATTCATCCATCTCCTAATGGCCACTTGGGCTGCTTCCAAATCTTGGCTAGTCTTATATAATAAAAGGGTAATATGCAAATTGACCAAACTGTGAAATGGCTGGTTGCTATGATGTGCACTGACCACCAGGGGACAGATGCTCAATACAAGAGCTGCCTCCTGGTGGTCAGTGTGCTCCCACAGAGGGAGTGCCGCTCAGCCAGAAGCTGGGCTCATGGCTGGCGAGTGCAGCAGCAATGGCGGGAGCCTTTCCCACGTCTGCAGCAGCATTAAGGATGTCCCACTGATGGCTTAGGCCCGCTCCTGGTGGGGAGCAGGCCTAAGCCGGCAGTGGGACATCCCCTGAGGGCTCGCAGACTGCAAGAGGGTGCAGGCCGGGCTGAGGGACACCCTCCCCAGTGCACGAATTTTGGTGCACCAGGCCTCTAACTGTAAATAATGCTGCAATGAACACAGGGGTGCACATATCCTTTTGAATTAGTGTTTTGGGTTTCTTCAGCTACATACCCAGAAGTGGAACCACAGGGTCATAAGGCAGTTCCGTTTTTAATTTTTTGAGGAAACTCCATACTGTTTTCCACAGTAGCTGCACCAGTCTGCATTCCCACCAGCAGTGCACAAGGGTTCCCTGTTCTCCACATCCTCGCCAGCGCTTGTTGTTTGTTGATTTGTTGACGGTAGCCATTCTGGCGGGCATGAGGGCTTTGTCATTTTTCTTTGGGAGTGTGCCATCTTTCATCTCACTGTAACAGCTGGTTGGCGTTCTGTTCTCTCCCTGCACATCTGTGTACATGTATTTGTTTTAAATCCATGTTAATTGAACACTTACTATGTACAAGGCACACTTGTATATCTCATTGGATCCTCCTAATAACTGAGTTAAGCACTATTATTATCCCCATTTTACAGATGAAGGAACTGAGGCTGAGAAGGGGGAACTGATTTGCTCAGGGTCACAGAGCTTGTGCTGTCGAGTCTGGATTCGAATAAGCTGTCACAGCACATCTGACGCCTGCCCTGAACCCCTGTGCTTTTCCTCCCAGCCTTGGGGCAAGAACTTGCACTGTCCATTGTGGCTCAAATACTCCCCAAGCACTGGGATGCTGAGCCTGATGAGGTGCCCCCCGGGTGGTTGGGTGATGGGCAGTGGGAAGTAGACAAGGCAGTTGTGCAGCTGGTCCTGGAACAGGCAAGCTCGAGGCCCTGGGGACTGAGAGAGGCTCCGGGGAAGCCTCCAGAGGAAACACCTACACGGAGACCTGAAGTAACTGGGAGGTCGTGGGGGCAGAAGGTCCCAGGCGGAAGGAACAGAGGCAGGAAGAAACCAGGCTTCTTTGAGGGAGACACGGGAGCCTATAGCTGGAGTCTAGTGGGGGCAAGTGTGGGGCGAATAGAAAGAAAGGTTGTCAGGGAGGAGGGCAAGGCGGAACCTGGCACCATGAGCAGCAGGGAGCTATGGAAGGGTTTAGACGGGGGAAGGGCGAAGTCAGAACGCAGTTTTGGAAAGATCACCCTTCGCTGTTCTCCCGTGCAAACCTGGCTGACATGCAGGGATGAAGTGGCATTGGAAGGGGGCTGGGAGTGGAGCTAGGAAGGGGAGTCAGGCTGGACTGGGAGAGGGGGAGGGGAGAGGGTTGGTAGGGTTTGGTGCTGGCTTGGTGGGGGGATAAAGAGAGGGAGGAGTCAGGACGACCTCCCGGAGACCCTGGATAAATCCTTCGCTTCGTGTCTTTTGTGTCATCAGTAGAAACAGTATCTACCCTGCTGATGGCTGGGCCTAGTGACTGGGGCCACGCCTAGAAAGCTTAGCCTCTACCATCCAACCAAATGTGAAAGTGCCGTTAACTCTTCTGCAAAGCACTGTGTAACATGAAAGCGCGAGAATGTCCGCCCGCAATGTGTTATAATCCCTCTTCTCCATCTTCTTGCCTACAGGTAACCTTCGCAGCTACAACCTGGCCACCCCGAACCTGACAGCCCCCAGCCTCACACCCCCCCAGATGGCCACCCCAAATCTACAGCAGTATTTTCCCCAGGCCACTCAGCAGTCCCTGCTGGGCCCCCCTCCTGTCAGGGTCCCCATCAACCCCTCCAAGCTCATCCTTGCAGGGCGGAACCCCCAGAAACAGGCCCGGACCACCCCTGATCGCAAGGTGAGTGGTGGCTGGGGGCAGAGCAGGCGGGGATGGGAGAGGGCTGGCCTGGTTGTCAGCCAGCTCCCCACTCTGGCCCACACTGGGCAGGCCACACCCTCTTTTTGCCTTAGTTTCTTCCCCTGTAAAGTGAGCAGGAGGTAAGTTGGACTTGTGTAGTGTTTCTCAAACTTCAAATATTCCTGAACCCCTGATGGGATTTTTGCCATGTCCAAATATCATCAGTATTATTATTTACCTAAAATTTCTCTCTTTTTTAAAAAAAGTGTATTTTTATTGATTTTTTACAGAGAGGAAGAGAGAGGGATAGAGAGTCAGAAACATCGATGAGAGAGACACATTGATCAGCTGCCTCCTGCACACCCCCCACTGGGGATGTGCCTGCAACCAAGGTACATGCCCTTGACTGGAATTGAACCTGGGACCCTTCAGTCCGCAAGCTGACACTTTATCCACTGAGCCAAACCAGTCAGGGCTAAAATTTCTCTTTTTAAAAAAATTAAGCTATAATTGACACATAACACTATATTAGTTTTAGGAGTTCTTAAAATCAGCACTGCCTGATGGAAATAAAATGCAAGCCATATATGGAATTTAATTTTTTTCTAGTAATTATATTAACAAAGCAAAACAAAACAGGTGAATTTGATTTTAATTAAATATATTTTATTTAATCCAATATATTTAAAAATTATCATTCCAAAATGTAATCGATATAAAAAATGAGCGAGGCGTTTTACATTTCTCTCTCTCTTTTTTTTTTGTACTAAATCTTTAAAATCTGATGTGGATTTTATACCAAAATCTCAGTTTGGTTTTCCACATTTCAAGTACTCAAAAGCCACCCATCTGTGACTAATGGCTTCTGCCTGGGATAGGACAGCTTGAAGTGAACTGGATTCTGCTCAGTGATTGACTGCTTGATTGATTTAAGAGAGAGAGAAACATGGACTTGTTGTTCCACATATTTATGCATTTATTGGTTGATTCTTGGATGTGTCCTGACTGGAGATCGAACCCGCAACCTTGGCACATCAGGATGATACTCTAACTAACTGAGCTATCCGGCCAGGGCTTCTGCTTGGTTATTTAAACAGGAAACATATTATATCACTACCTAAAATAAAATAAAATAAAGTAAAATAAAATAAAACAGTAGAAAGGAAAGGTAATGGGGGTGAAACCATATTATAAAGCCCTGAACCCCACACTGGCCATCCGAAGGTTCTGAGCCGGCACCCCGGCTCCTCCCCGTCTGAGAGGGGGTGAACGCTTCAGAGGGAGGGTCCCCTGATAAGCAGAAAGACTCAGAGAGACTGGCAAAGGGAATAACGAACTCCCCGAGACTGTCCTGGCCCTGAACGTCCCAGCAGCTCCTCACATACACCGTGCTCCTCAGAGAGGATTCTGGGGTGGGGGCAGTACCCACTTTCTGCCTGCTCCCAGGCAGCCCCCCCTGGGGGTGAGGCATTTCCCTCCAGAGAGGGGTCCTGGCCTCTGACCTCCCAGTGGGCCTCTCCTCACAGGCTTGTCTCTGATCACCCCACCCCCATTTTACAAATGGGAAAACAGGCTCAGAGCGGGGTGGATGGAGGTTTCCCTGGGGGAGAAAGACCCAGAGCTGGGCTTCCTGACTTGAAGGCCTGTGCCCATGTCCTGCGGGTCGTTGCTGCAGGGCACGGAGGCCTGATGTGGTGGGCGGTCTGCTTAGTACTGGTTCCCAGGGGAGGTGCAGACCTGGGTTTGCCCTTCCCCAAGCCAGAGGCCAATGCCTTTCCTTTCCTTGCTCAGCTCCCCTGAAGGGTTCCTGTAAGAAGTGCGTTTGGGGCTCTGGAAAGGCCTGGGGCTTTGGGGAAAGGGCCTTGGCCTCCAGCTTGGAGGGGTGGGTGTGGGGGCAGAGGTTGTTTTGTATAGGAAGGAGGGGAGGTGGTGTCAGGCTCGGGTGAAAAGAGAGCACTCCGGGCTACGAGAAGTCATGGGGGTTTTGGCCTGAAAGAGATGAGACGCGTGATCAGGTGTGCATTTGAGGAGGGTCCCTCTGAGCTGCTTGCAGGAAAGGGGGGGACGTCAGGACGCAGCACCGTGGCCAGGAGAGGGCTCATGGCCCCCAAACCTGGGTTTACTTGACGTCAGCAACCAGATGGAACGCCTTGGACACGATTCCTGGGGAGTTTAAGATCATCTCTTGGCAGCTCTGGGGCCAGGCCCCCAGGCTCCTCATCTCTGGGATGGTTGCAGCTGCTCTTGGGCAAGGATGTATTTGCAAGGTGGGCGGTGGGTGTCAGAAACGGTTTCTGAACGGAAGCAGGACTCTTCTTCTCAGACGATGCCTGTGGGAGACGAGGCAGACCCCCCAGAGGGGTCTGAGGGAGCTGCGGAGCCCCGAACGGACACGCCAGGTGAGGGAGCTGCTGGTCCTTCAGAGGGGATGGCCGTTGGGGCGAGTGGGTCATGGAGGCAGGGATCTTGGTGGGGGGTGAGCCCAGGCCTTACCTCCTAGACACGGTTGGTGCTTGACCTGTCCCTGGCAGCCGCTCATCTGCCCTTCCTTCTAGACCAAGATTCCCCTCCCTGCCCAGATGACGTTACTAAGGAGACTTGCACTTCGGCACCTGAGCCAGAGTCCTGTGAAGCGTCTGGGCCACCAGCTAAAAGGTCAAAGAGGTAACTGGTGCTGAAACCCTGCCGGGGCCCAGGAGGCCTGTACTCTCATTCCTGCAAAGGCCAGGGGGCCGTGGCGGGCGGGCAGGGGGCAGCGGGTGTAGGTGGGGAAAGGACTCTTCAGGGGAGTTGGAACAAGGACAGGGCATTGGCTTTTGGCTTGGAGGAAGGTCAAACCTAATTCTGCATCTCACTTGGGAAGCTCCCAGGCCAGACAGACTCTGATGTCTTCACTGACCGAGCCCCCTGGAGACAGACGAAGTGGCCAGGTTGAGGGGTGGAGATGTGCATCTGGGACCTAGGGTGGGCAGCTCTACAGGCCTTGGTCGCATATTAGCAAGTTGTGGGAGGTGGGAGCAAGTGATCCTCCCAGTTTATTTAGGCTGAGAGCCAAAGGGGCTTGCCCAAGTGCCCAGCTCGAATGTGGTAGAGTGCTGACTGGAACCTGGGTCTTAGCCTTTCTAGGGAGCCGGTTGGAAGACATGAATCTGATCTCCTTTGATCCTTCCCAGCTCAGAGAAGCCCACAGAAAAGGGACCCCCAGGGCAGCTGCAGGCGAAGGTCCAGCCACAGGCCCGGACGACAGCGCCGAAGCAGACGCAGACGCCCGAGCTGCTGCCCGAGCCACTGGAAGCCCGAGTGCGGCCACGATCCCAGCCACGGGTCCTGCAGATCCAGGCCCAGGTGCAGCCGCCGCGGCAGAAGCAGGCACAGACGCAGACCTCCCCAGAGCACTTAATGCCGCAGCAGGCACAGCCGGAGGCACAGCCGCTGACGCAGGCGCAGCTACAGGCACATGTGCAGCCCCCAAGGCAGGGGCAGCCACAGCTGCAGGAGCAGGCACAGACCCCGACGTGTCCACAGGTCCAGGCAGGAACACAGCCGCGGGCCCAGCCAGGGGAGCGGCCACCAGAGCAACCTCCGGTGCAGTTGCCAGTGCAGCCACCCGACCAGACCCAGGGGCAGCCTGCGACGCAGCCACAAGTGCCGGCGTCAGAGCAAGCACCAGTTCCGGCTGATTCCCCTCTGCAGGAGGCACCGCCCAGGGCAGTAGAAGCTGACGCAGGTCGGTGAGCACTGGCTCCCAGCCGGCCCGGTGCTGGGACAGCTCTGTCCAGACCCCTCTGTCCTCCCCTGACACTGTCCAGCTCTGACCGGGCGCTGCCTGGGACCAAGGGTTGGACCCAGAACCAGGGTTTGGGGCCATTCACACCAGAGGCTGAAAGGCCTTGACTGTGAGCACAGAAGGTGACCCTTGGGCCCAGGTCCCTCTGGGTCCGGTGGGAGATGGGCCCTGGGAAACGGAGCCCATGTGTCATTCCAGGCCTGGAGGAGGCCTCACCGGAGCCGATGGCGGCCCAGGTCAGCATGGAGGAGAGCCAGGAGGAGCTGACCGGTGGCCTGGATGTGGGAGAATGTGAAAAAAGAGCAAGAGAGATGCTCAGGGTGGGTAGAGCTGCTAATGGGGCAGCGTGAGGACCACAGTGCCCAGCGGTGGGAGGGCCTCTTTCTATCCCAGGCCCCCTCGGGGCCCCCTCGCGTTTCCCCACCTGGGACATGTGCCCGCAGCCTGGGCTTGTGGGCAGAGCGGAGTGGGTTTGACTATGGTTCGTCAAACTCTTCATGCTGTCGAGCTGCCTTCTCACGCGCCTTTGCTCTCAAGATCTGATGCTACTTTGGGGACAGGAGTCCCTTCCAGCCGGCTCATCCCAAACTGGAGCGTCCAGTCCCCTCCCATGAGTAACGTTGCTCTTTAGAGAGAGTGCAGTGTCAGCCCGTGCCAGAGGTTCGGGGCCCAGCTCTGCTGCACGGTGGATTGTGGCCAAGCCCATTCCCTCGTTTGTGTCTCGCTTTCTCCCTGTAGTGTATGAGGAGGGGGTGGACCTGGCTTTAGATTTAGGGGGGCCTGGCTTTGAATCCTGACTGCAGTGCTTCCCAGCTGTGTGAGCTTGGACAATCCTCGAACAGCTTGGAGCCTCAGTCCCCATCTGTAAGGGACTGTCAGCGGCCCGATAAGACCACGCTTAGAGGTCGTTAGCACTGGGGCTGGCCCGCCATGCGCGTCCAGCTGGTCGTAGCTCTGCCCCTGCTCCTGGCGCAGGTGTGGGGTGCCGGGGGCTCCCTGAAGGTCACCATCCTGCGGAGTAGTGACAGCCGGGCCTTTAGCACTGTACCCCTCGCACCCGGGCCGCCTCCCAGCGACTCCGCCCCCGCCACCCCTGCCGCCGCCAGCGTGCCCTCCAAGCAGGCGCTGCAGTTCTTCTGCTACATCTGCAGGGCCGGCTGCTGCAGCCAGCAGGTACTGCCACCCTGCCCTGGGCAGTGGGTCGGTCGGGGGGAGGGCCTGTGTGGGGTGCCCAGCCTGCCCGGTCCACGGCTGCCTGCGTGGCCACATGGGGCCCCCTGAGCCCCGGTTCCTGGCAGCTGAGCCTCGCTCAGAGCACATGTTTTGAGCAGCCACGAAGGCAGGCTTTTACAGTCAGGCAGAGCTGGTCTGAATCGGCCCTGCCCAGCCCTGCGGACCTCGGGAGGGAATTCACCCTTTGTGCCTCAGTTTCCCCATGCGTCAGATGAAGAATCATGTAGAACCCACCACATCAGGTAGTTCTGAGGATTCAGCGACTCGACATTGAAGTCATGAGCCCCAGACCCAGCCTGGAGCGAGCATAGCATTCATAACAGCATTAGACTCGTATTACCACACCGGGGGCTGTAGTCACCCCCCACTCTGTGCCTGGCGGAGCGGAGCCAGCGGACCTGAGAGCTCCTCAGACTGCTCCTGGTCTTGGAGGCTCACACAGGCTCCAGGAGGAGCGGAGGCTCTGGCTGCTGTGTGCTCGCTCTGTGCCTCAGTTTACCATCCTTCTGTGGCCCACACAGGGTTGCTGTAAGAGAAATGGCCTCTCAGTGGTGTTGGGGGGCCATGAAAGCCAAGGTTGGAGGCCTCCTCCCTCGGCCCAGCCCTGACCGCCTTCCGGGGCTCAGTCCTCATGCCCATCCCTCCCTCCCTCCTGTCGTAGGAATTCCAGGACCATATGTTGGGGGCCCAGCACCAGCAGCGGCTCAGGGAGATGGAGCACATGAGCCAAGCCTGCCTCCTGTCCCTGCTGCCCGTGCCCCGGGACGTCCTGGAGAGACAGGACGAGTGAGTGCGGGATCTCAGAGGCCCTGTGTGGGGGCTGGGCAGTCTCCCAGGCCAGGCCAGGCTGAGACGGGCCCTGATTCTACCATCTGCAAGGTCTGCCTTTGTGTTAAGCATTTCCCTCCTCCAGAGGCCTCTTCACACCATTCACTGTGTGACCTTGGACCTCAGTTTTCCTTGTCTGTACAATGGCCTCGTAAGGGGTGTAATGCGGGAACTCATGAACTAAGCCCTTTCTCAGGGCTCCATCCGGCAGGAACACGTGACCGTCCACCTGGGAAGGACGTGGGTTGTGGGGCTGCTCCCCTGGCGCATGTGCCGACCCTGCCTGCCACAGGGGCATGGTGGTGAGGGGCAAGAGCAGCTCTGCGAACCACGGGGCATTAAACTGAAGGATAAAGAAAGGTTTCCAAGGCCAGATATCCTCGGTGCTGTCACTGTCCTGGTGACCCTCTGGCATCCCAGATGCTTCTAAATCTCATTTCTCCCCCAACTCTCCTTGTTCATATTCTCATTTAAGTATTCTTCCAGGTGAAGTTCCAAACCCTTCTGTTAAGTTTCCCAAAGAGCTCCTGTTGGAATGGCCCTGCGTTTACAGAGCGCCTGGGAGAGCGCCCGTCTTTCCGGGAACGTGGGGTCACACTGCCCTTGTTTTGCTTGTCATCACTCAGAGAGCCGCCTCTGAGGCGCTGGTGCCACACCTGCCGGGTCTACTACACGGGGGACCTGATCCAGCACCGCAGGACGCAGGACCACAAGGTGCGAGGCCTCACGCTGCCATTGCCCTGGATGTGCTGTCTCCAGGCCGAGGGCTGGGAGGGAAGGAGTCCAGTCTGGAACGGAAGTCCGTGTCAGTCTGTCTCTGCGTGGCCGTCACACCGAAGTGTGGCTTCTCAACGCCTCAGTCGCGTTTCTTCTTTGGGCTTCAGTTTCCCCATTTGTCCGGCGGGAACCAGGCACCATCTCGACCTGCCATTGAGCCGTGGGGCTCGGGGGGCTCCTCCCAGCGCGTGTGCTCTCCTGTCTCCTCTCTGTGGCCATCGGCCATCCCATCTCGGAGCCAGTGGCACAGGGAAGGGACGTGCTTGCCCGTGTGCTGGCACATGAGATTGCAGATGTGGTGGCCGGCAGGAGGGAGGCGAGGCCTCGCTGGAGACACTGCCCGCCACCCACTTGGTCTGCCCTCCTTCCCCCCAGATGGCCAAACAGTCCCTGCGACCTTTCTGCACCGTTTGCAACCGCTACTTCAGGACCCCCCGCAAGTTTGTGGAGCACGTGAAGTCCCAGGGGCACAAGGACAAAGCCAAGGAGGTAACTCCGGCTCCCTCGGGGGACAGGCTCAGAGAGGTGCAGAGTATTGGCCAAGGCCGCCCAGCAAGTTGAGATTTATCCCAGCCTGAACTCATAGCAGGTCCAGGGCGATTGGGAGACCGGGTGTGTGTTTGGGGGGAGGGGGTGTGGCGCCTTGGCCACCCAGAGCTGACCTGAGCCCTACCCACTTCCTGGGCAGATGAAGATGTGCGAGAAGGAGATAGCTGGCCAGGATGAGGACCACTTCATCACGGTGGATGCCGTGGGCTGCTTTGAGGACGATGAAGACGAGGAGGAGGAGGAGGAGAATGAGGAAGAGATGGAGGTTGAGGAGGAACTCTGCAAGCAGGTGCTTGGGGGGAGGAAGGAATGTGGGAGGCAGGCTGGAGGCTGGACTCCCAGCCCAGGAGGGACCGCGCCCCACCTCCCGGGGCCAGGAGGCACTGTGCTGGCCTTTACAGGCACTAATGCTTGCTACAACTTAGTGCTAGCACTAACTATATCCTGTAGGACTATGTAAATACACCCAGGTGACTGCAGGGGGGCAGTGAAATCTGTGAGGGCCTCGAAGCCTGGCTGCAATGCTGACGTGTTGAGGAAGGGAAAGGGGACCCTGGGCCGAGGGAGCAGCGTCAGTAAAGGCATGGGCGGGGGATGGTGCAGCACACACAGGAAAAGCCAGCGTAAGATGCTGCTAATGCTGATAGCTAGCGCAGTCGGCGCTTTTAGAGCACCTACCTGTATACCAGGCATGTGCCAAGCACTTTCCTGGCAGAATCTCACCAACTTGGATGCCAGGCTGTGCTCGGAATGCCCCACTACTCTGCCCCCCGTGAGCGAGGAGCTAGAGAAGCGTGGACTCTCTTCAGTTTAACAGATGTTTCCGGAGCAGCTGTTCCGGGCCAGACCCTGGTGCTGGGATATGTGGGGACAAAGGCCTGGCCCCTGGCAGACCTCGCCCGTTACAGCCCAGGGTGGTGATGGGGCAGCAGAAAGGACGCAGAGGGACTGTGGATGGAGGGTTGCAAGGGTGGCCTCCGGCCCCAGGCAGGTTAGGGGTGAGGCCGGCCTTGCTATTCAGAGTCAGAAGTGGTGTCCTGGGCAAGCCCCTTGGCATCTCTGAGCCTGTTTCCTCTGTTCAAATAGTCCCCACTCAGGCTGTGAGGGTGACAGCCCCGGCTGGCAAACGGGAGTGGGTGTCACTCCGAGAAGCCGTGTTTGCTTGCCTGGTGTGTGGAAGGCACTGTTGGGCATGGTGAGGCTGGCATGGCGTCAGGTGGCCTCATCTGGAAGGGGCTTATGGCCAGGCGAGACGAGGGGTCCTAGGTCACCTGAAACCCACCCCCCAGGACTGAGGTCACTGCAGCATCAGGTGGGAACTCATGGAGCCGGCAGGGGGCTCACGGTCAAACGTGAAAGCAGGACTTGGGGCCTACCAGGGTTTACTAACCTGGCTCCTCCCTAAACCAGCTGACACCAGGCAAGTGAGTTAATGTTTTCTCTCTTATGTAAAATGCGTGAACCATAGGTGGTGGTGGTGAGGGTTCAATGAGATGACATGTGTGATGTGTCAGGCACACCTGGCATGGTTATGGCCACTGTGGGAGCAGGAGGGCTTCCTGGAGGAAGCGACTGATTGAGCTGAGCCTAGGAAGTATAGATTGGGAAGGGTACTGTGGGAGGCAGGATTGGCTGTGCAAAGGCTCAGAGAATGCCACCCACAGCCTCCTCAAAACCAAGGGGACTGTGTTTAAGAGCATGGGTGGGTTCCAGGGCCCCCCACCTGCATTCAGGTTTGGGGGGCCCTGGGGGAAGTCAGACCTGAGGCCCGCACTTGCATGTTTCCAGGTGAGGTCCAGAGGGATAGCCATAGAGGAGTGGAAAGACCCAGAGACCCACAGCCCCAACACTGCACATGGTAAGACCTCAGCTCTGACCTCAGCCTCCAGGTGACCCCCCAGGTCCTGGCCACAGCATCCTGGCCAGGCGGCCAATCCTCTCGTCCTTTTCCCCGACCTGGAAGGTGGGGGGATAAATGGGCCCCTAAAGAGGGAGGCACACCTGGCTGGTGTGGAGGAATGTGAGTGCCCAGACCCCGCTGCCCCACAGGTGTGGATTTCATGGTGCCGGTGATGGGCTACGTCTGCCGCATCTGCCAGAAGTTCTACCACGGCAGCTCGGGGGCAAAGCTCTCCCACTGCAAGTCCTCGGGCCACTTGGAGAACCTGCAGGTGAGCTGGGCCTCCAGCCCCACCCCACCCTGCCCAGGACCCACTCCATCCAAACTGGGAGCAATGGCCACTGGCCACCTCCCTCCTGTGTTTGACCTCAGCTCCCAGACACGCCCCCCAACAGGGAGGACCTGCCCACAAAGGGCGGGGCGGGGCTCCTTCCGCTTTTGTTCTGGGGAAGAGAGGTGCTGAGGGCCAGGCTGGGGGCGCCAGAGCTCCGGCCCAGGGAGGCTGAGCGCAGCACACAGAGGCGCACAGCACGTCCAGTGCCGTCTCAGCCGGGCGGGGAAGCAGCTGCCGGCCGGCAGTGCACCAGGCAGGGAGGGCCCTGCCTCATCTGCACCCTCTGTGTCCAGAAATACAAGAAGGCCCAGGACCCCAGCCCTGCCGCCAGGCCCGTGAGCCGCCGGTGTGCCATCACTGCCCGGAACGCCCTGACTGCTCTGTTCACCTCCAGCGGCCGCTCACACATCCAGCCCAGCCTCCAGGACACAGCCAAACCCCCCAGCAAGGTGACGACCCAAGCTCCCCAGCCCCCACCATTCCGGCGCTCAGCCCGCCTCAAATCCTGATAAGAGCTCCCCCAGCCACCTGGGGCGGGTCCGGATCTGTGCTTCCTGGGGGTCTGCATGGAAGCTTGACATGGTTGGTGTTTTTACCCAGAAATCCAATAAAAGAAGGTAGCTTGGTTGTCTAGTCCCCACCAGCACTCTGTCTGGGTGGACAGGGGAAGGGAGGCACCCAGCCAGCTCTCCGTCTCTCTAGGCTCAGTGTGGGGGCAAACCAGCCAGCCACCCACAGGTCCCCAAACCAGGGATTCTGGGATCACAAGGCGCTTCACCTCTCTGAGCCTCAGTTTCCCTCTTCATGTACGAGGGCCAGGAAAATCTTCAAGTGAGATCTCATTTAATCTTCACAGTGACTCTAGGAGGGCGGTCTCATTACCCCCAAATTACAGATGAAGAAACTAAGGCCTAGCAAGGTCAAGTGGCTTGCTGAAGGTCATACACCTGGTGAGTGGCCAGGATTTGACTCCAGGCCTGAGCGCTGGGCCCCAGCTCTCTCCAGCCGGATTCTGTGGGAGGGGAAGTACAGGCAGGGGGAACCTTGCTGCTCTTCCCGTTCCGAGCTCGTGGTGCACTAACGGTGACCCTGCCTTCTCGTCAAGTGACCTGCGATGAATCGTCAGTGACTGGAGCCCAGGCTAAGTTGGATCTTTAGTTCTGCTATTTCCCCATTTGGAAAGACCCTTACAGATCAGACAACCAGACCAACCGTACTGTTGGCCAGCTGGGGAAACTGGGGCCAAGAGCGGGAGGGTGGTGCCCGAGGGGGCACGGCATGCCTTGGTGTCGGTTGTCAGTGAAAGCCCTAGTACCCAGAGGAGCTAAGTGCATCCCACGGGGTCACACAGCATGTCCAGTGCTGTCTCAACCTGGCAGGGAAGCACTGCCGGCCAGGAGCATTCCAGCGGGGGAGGAAGTCCCGACCTCACCTGTACCCCGTGTCCAGAAATAAAGAAAACAGGAACCGCCCCCCTCCAGGCCCATGAGCAACACCCGGAACGCCCTGACTGCTCTGTTCACCTGTCGGCCCCCGGGGTTCTCATCCAGGATCCAGTCAGAGGCGCAGTGCTACTGCAGACACGTTTAATGTGGACATTCAAGGCCTGGGCAGAGCGGAGCGTGCCCAGGAGCGGGACAGGCAGGCAAGGTGGGGGGGTTGCAGGCCCACACCTGACGCCAGGAGGGAAGGCTGGGTGGTGGGAGGTGGCCCATACACGCCGAGGGGAGAATCTGGAGAGCGGCTCAGGCAGGCAGAGCCGCCGGGGGACCTGTAGGCCAGCCCTTGAGAAGGCATCTAATCGGGTGGTGAGTGCCCCGGCTGGAGCCTGGCCCTGGAGGCAGGGTGAGGGCTGCCTGGAGGCTCCTGGAGCCTAGGTGCTGGCGTCGTAGTCGTAGTCGCAGTCGTAGTCGTCGTCGGGGTCCTCCCCCAGCTGCTGCTGGAACTCCAGGCGCGTCTGCCGGTTGGACTCCAGCAGCTCCTGGAGGCGGGCGTGGAGGTGGTCGTTCTGCTCTTCCAGGTGGTCCAGGCAGGAGTTGATCTGGTCCAACATGGAGTTGATGGCAGCGTATTCTGGAGGAAGGGAAAGAGAGCCAAGATCCCAAGTCTCCTCAGCGCTCAGACACCCCTCACCCGCAACCACCACCCCCAGCCTGACTCCAAAAGGGCTTTGGCAAGTCCGTACTCCTTCCTGAGCCTCCGTGTCACTGTGGGGAAAGTGGGTGGGTATAAAAAGAGGGAAGGCTTTGGAGAGAGAATACCTTAGCACACCAGGCTCAGCCAGGGTCCTGCCTGGGAAGTCCCGCCTGATACCAATCTCCTTTCCACTCCTTCACCTGCCGAGAGGCCAGAGCCCACATTCCTGAGTGGGGCAATCCAGGCCTGTCCCCAGGCAAGTCCATCCTGCCAGCTCTTCCATGGCCTTTGCCCCCACGATAAGGCACCCAGATTCCAAGACCCCACTCTCCTCTCACATCTGCCTTTGCCCACCTCAGGCCCCTTGAACACGCTGTTGCCTCTACCTGGAGTGCACCGTACCCCCCTCCTGTCTCCCTCCCTCCTCCTGGATGAGTCCTACTCATGCTTCAAGTCTCAGCACGGCTGTCACCACAGGGAGCCCTCCCAGCACCCCAGACGAGATCAGGCCTCTATGCCCGATCCCCGTCCGCACACCTCGGGGGCCCTCCCTCTGGATGTGATCATCTGTGCTGGTCTGCCTCCCCGACCAGACCATAGAGCTCCGTGAGAAGTGTTCACCGCCGTTTCCCCGAGGCCCTCGCCGACACACAAGGAACATTTGTTGAATGAGTGAATGAATAGAGGAATGAATGAAGCCTCTAACTTTCCAGTCCTTTTTCTGCCTTTGCTCGACTGCCCCTGCCACCCAGAATACAACAACAGCCATTTAACAACTAGCTCAAAACACCTCTTCTGAGAAGCCTTCCCTGATCTCCACCAGAAATCATCACTCCCTCCTCCCCAACCACTCCTGACCTGCACCCAGCAGCACAATGTCCCTTAGGGCCCAAGGTCTGGGCCTGTGCCCACTGCGGGAGCCAGTTCTGAGCCAGCCCATGACTCAGATACACTCCGCTGCCAGCTTGGGACCAAGGGGAAGTGGCTGGCAGTGTTTGGAAAAGGCCAGCGCTGGAGGGTGTCTGGGATATGGATGCAAATGTGTCTGCATTCTGGAGGAAGAGCGCCCATCACCCAGAGTTGGCACACCTCAGAGGCCAGAGGCCTGGGAAGTCTCTGCTGGGCTTTACAGTCCAACCACCTTGTGGTACAGGTGGGGAAACTGAGGCCAGGAAGGAAAGGACTTGCGCAGGGTCCTCCAGCTAGTCGGAGGCCGGAGCCAAGACGCAGACCTGGGAAGTGGGGCACCTGGGCTTCAGCCCCAGCTCTGCTCCATCCCAGGAAGTTGCTGCAACCTTTCTGGAAAAGGGAGAGACAGTCCTGGTGGCTGTGAGGACTCAAGTATATCAAGAACTCAGACAGGGTCTGGCCGCAGCAAGTACTTAATACTTGGTCATTATTATCAACGTTGCACATTCTGTGTCAAGAGACACAGCCAGGGAAGGATGGGGGCGGCGGTGTCTCCACAACACTGGGGCCGGGCTCTATCTGTGTCAAGGGTGCTTCCCATTCCCAGCCTGTGCCTCCCTCCTCCCCACTGTGCTAAGTGCTGTGAACTGGCCGGCGACCACTCAATGTGACTCCTGGGAGGCCCGTCCTGATGCAGCTTAACACACATCTGGCCACCGTTCAGGGCAAAGCGGCCAGCTCACCACTCTTCCCATGGGAGGTCTACCTCTATTAAACGCAGGCCCTGGGTTATGGGAGTGTTGTAAAACTATTGAGGTGATGCCCTCGCTGGTTTGGCTCAGTGGATAGAACATCAGCCTGCAGGCTGAAGGGTCCTGGGTTCGATTCCAGTTAAGGGCACATGCCCAGGTTGCAGGCTTGATCCCCAGTAGGGGGCGTGCAGGAGGCAGCCAATCAATGATTCTCATCATTGAGACTTCTACCTCTCGCCCTCTCCCTTCCTCTCTGAAATCAATAAAAAAATAAAACTATTGAGGGGATAGATGCACACTCTGGATACTGTGAAACCCACTGAATTGTACAATTTAAATGGATGAGTTGTATAGTATGTGAATTATAGCTCAATAAAGCTGTTACCAAAACAAAACGCAGACTCCACACCCTACATTTACTAAGTCCTGCACTCTAATAACCCAATCTTTATTACACTAAAGAGAATAATAATAACCATTTACTGAACACTTGCATTTTGGAACCTTCTGAGTATTTCTCATTCATTTTCCCATTCAATCCTGACACATCTCAATGCCTGAGGCACTAATCATTGTTATTTTACAGATGAGGAAACAGGCTTCCGAGGGTGAGAAGGGAGTTGACGGTTCTCTCTCCACACCTCACCCACCTTCCATCCTCCGCAGTGCCGTGCACACAACAGGCTGCTTTGTAAACAGGTCACATTCGCCAGGGCTCCAGGCCGCACCAGAAAAGATGGCTGGGGCTGCTGACTTAGCCAGGCGCGCGCCCACCCCGACGGCCCTTGGGCTGGGCCCGAGCGGCCCGCCATCCCCACAGGGGCCGAGCTCAGCACTGGAGCAAACCCCCAAAGCGCGAGTGTCTCTGCAGCGGCCTCAGTTTCTGCAAAATGGGGCCCGCTGCCCACAGTTCTCGAATGCTGGGGTTTCCAGACACCCACTGGCAGGTGCCAGGAACCTGCAACCCACCCAGGAGCGGGGGATGGGAGGGCTCCTTCCTTCCACACCCCTGTCCGGGCCGCCCCCTCCCCAGGAAGGTACCCGGAGAAAGCAACGGTCGCTCAGCAGTCCCCCCGCGTCACCTGCTTCCCCAAAGCTGTCATCCTCGTCTTCCGTGCTCGGTACCACCGGCATTCCCATATTGGGGCCCGACATCGCGGGCTCGGGCGCCGCAGAGGCCACGAACGCTGAAACGCCGCGACCGTCACGCCGGAGCCCGCGCCGGGCGGAAGGTGGAGGGGGCGGGCGTCGCGCGGGGGCCGGAAGAGTGGAGCCGCGCAGAGGAACGCAACCTGCGGACTGGGCAGCCGGGACTCCGCCCACAAGGCAAGGAGCCCCGCCCCAACCATAACCCCGCCCCGCTCGCCATCAGACCCCGCCCCTCCCACAACCATAACCCCGCCCCGCCTGTCGCCAGGCCCCGCCCCCATCCGAGCCCCGCCCCGCCCGCCGCCAGGCCCCGCCCCCATCCGAACCCCGCCCCGCCCGCCGCCAGGCCCCGCCCCCATCCGAGCCCCGCCCTCTCCGTCGAGCTCCTCGCTCTCTCCCGGCCCTGCCACCCTCAGGCTGCTGGTCGGGAAGCCCAAGGTGGTGGAGGCTCGGGCAAGCGAGTAGGGTGGAGTGGCAGCAGCAGCCTGGGACCCCGCCTCCCCCGTTCTATCCCCATTACGCTCCTCCTGCCGCTGGCGACCTGTGGGTGGGCCAGCAGCGCCTCCGCGTGGGCGAAATCTGAGACTCGTGGTTTCTAAGGACCTTCCTAATCAATGGCTTCGGAACATTTTCGTTCACAGCCTCCTGGAGAGTCACGGTTGGCGGAGTGCTGCGTGTGGCTGTCGCTCAAGAAAGGCCGTGGGATACGCCTGGCCCAGCTGCCATCACCCCCACCCCTTTGCCAGCTGGGAAAGGGAGCCCTGCTCAGTCACCAGCCAGCAGGTGTCGCTCCTGAGCGGGACCCAGACGTGTGATCTCCAGCTGGGAGTGACTTGCATACAGTCAGTGCCACCGCCTTCTCTCTGAACCACGGTGAGTGGAGGTGAGGCCTCAGCTGAACCAGTCCCTCACCCAGGTCAGCTGACACCACCCCCACCCCCACCCCGGACTATTAAGTGTGGGCATCCTTTCTCCTGTCCCCCAATCGGCCACCCTCCTGCCAAGCCTCCACTCCTCCCTACTGGGGGCCGGCACACCCTCACAGCCGCCTTGAGAAGCACCTGTGCCCCTGATGGAGCAGGTGGACCATTCCGGGAGAGGGAGGAATCTTTGGGTCCGAGAGGGTGCTAGGAGCGTGCCTGGGGGCAGCTGGGTGCCTTGGGCATGGCCACATCCCTCTCTCAGTCCAGGCTCCACTAAACTCATCTTTCCCTGGAGTCTGGCCCCGAGCTACAGCGGCATCTGTTTGGGCCTGGCTCCAGGTCTGTCCTGCTCCCTGCTGGCTGAGGCTGGGACTGCTCACAGCTCCAGTACCTCCCCATGCCCCTGCCAAGGGCGAATGGGACAGGTGTGCAAGTCTGTGAGGGGGAGGAGCCGGGGTTCCTTCGGAAGCCGGCCTCCTCGGGCCTCTGGCCTTGCCAGGGGGGAAGAGGCGGGGGAGGGAGTTCCCGTGTGTGGCACAGGTGAAGAGGGGCTACAGCTGCAGCCCGGGTGGGCAGGAGCTTGTCAGGCCCCAGACACAGGCCCCGCCAGTGGTGGTGCAGGCCTGGGCCCTCAGGCCTCTGGAATCTGGATCCCTGGCAGCATCTCCCCCTTTTCGCCTCCCCCAGCCCTGCCCCAGGGGGTCCAGACGTCATCATAGAGAAGAGGGGTGGTTGAGGGACAGTGCTCTGAATGGGGTTAGCATGGGTACTGCCACTCACCAGTGGGGGCAGGAGGGCGAGCACTGGACCCACAGGAGGCTGGCAGAGGAGCAAGGGACTACCCTGGTGACCCTCTGTGCCTGGCACAGCCTCAAGCTGGGCATTCCTCTGTCCCACCTACTCTTGGCTGCCATCTTCTAACATCACAGGGATCCTGGTGAGTTGGAACCCCGGTGAGGGATCCAGCTTCCCCTGTTCCCTCCAGCTCCCCGGCCCTGGCAAGGCCTTTGTTGTAGGACCTGTTGCAAGTGGCTGAGTATAGACATGAGGTGTGACCTCAGTGTTTCCATTGGCCTGGGCACCCCTCAAAGGCAAGGACATGTGAGGGCTAGCATTGGCTTGGGGGTGGACCCAGGATTGGGACTTAGGAGGTGTTCAAAGATGGACTCAAGTTCCATGACCTCCATCCCTCACTGAGGGCCTCAAGGCGGCCTGGGAGTAATGCTGAGAGCCACCCTTTGCCCTTTGCCCACCCCGATGGCCCAGTGGGCAAGGAACAGAGACGGGGGGCTGGGGCATGTGTTTATTTAGCAGACAAGGAGCAACTCCATCAGCAGGGTGGCCTGGGAGCAGCGCTGGGCTGCACTGTGAGAGGGTCCTGGCTCTCAGTGGCGTCCGGCTCATGGGGGCAGCTGGGTGGCACCTTGGGCGGAGGCGGAGATGAAGGCAACGGGAAGGAGGAAGAGGAGGCACCTGAGAGGCACGCAGGGGAGTCACGATGGCGACAATGCCGGGTAGGGGAGCAGCAGGCCGCTGCCCTCAGGCTCCCATCAGCCCCCTCCCCATCCATACTCACCACCTGCTCACTGGTCATCGATGCACTTGTCTGTGGGGAAGACAGTTCGTCACAATAGGCAGGGATGTGTGTGTGACCCCTGACCACCAGGACCCCTGCCCTGCCCCCCGGCTGTCCCAGGCCCCAGCCTGGCCCAGAGCAGCAGATCTAGGTGTTCCCTTCAGGGCTGGGGCAGCAGAGGGGCAGATGATGGGGGAGGGGATCTAGAGAAAGGCCTGAGAACACCTGGGCGTCACTTGTTCTCAAGGACTCAAACGAGGCCCAGCCACCTGCTGGGCACCGCGGTCTCCTGCCTGTTGACCTGATGAGCCCTGGCAGCCCCTCAGCCTTGGGGAGGACGGTGGCTCTGTGAGTGGCCTGGGTACAGCCCCTGACTGGCCAGGCTGACCTCCCAACTCAGTGGTGAGCAAGCCCCAGGGGGAGGGGTGGGGGGAGGTGGCCCCGCAGACCCTGGGCTGGGGCATGGTCTTTCTGAACCCAAAGTGGCTCCCAGGGGCTCCAGGGACTAGAGGGGAGCGGGCCTCCTCTCCCCGTTTCCCTGGTGGGACGTCATCAGGCCTGGTCAGTCCCAGACGCCCCTCTCCTCTCCCCAGCTCGCCATTACCGATTGGGACAGGGAAGACGATGTTGTCATCGGTGAGGCCCAGGGATTTGACAAAGCGGATGAAGTTCTCCTTCAGCTCAGGGGGCAGCTCCTTGGTCCTTCCTGTGGCCAAGATGGCCGGCGAGTGGCCGGGAGACACTCCATGAATATTGTTGAATGGATGAATGAGCCTCAGACCCCTTCCTCGTGGGGGGCCTGCGGAAAGCCCTCGTTCCCTGGCCTCCCGGGGACTTGGGGCAGGGATAACGCTGGAGGGGGCCTTGGGTTGTGGTGGGGATGGGCCCTTCCCTCCCTCGGATGGGACAGGAGCGGGGTCCCCCAGGGTGGCTGAAGACCCACCGTAGAGGGTGATCTTGAAGTACTCCTGGTTTTGGGAAACCTTCTTGAAGAACACCGTGGCGAACTGGTTGTAGTCGGTGGCCGCCACTCGCACGGTGTAGCTCTGCAGTGGAGGGTAAGCTGCGGGGTGGACAGCGCGGGGTCAGCCCTGGCTGGTTAGACAGAGCAGCTCCCTCCTCCCCGACCCTGCACAGGACGGCCTCTGTGTGGAGGTTCAGGGAGGCCGGTTCCCCCTCTGGGAGGACCCCACGCCTGGGACCCCAACCCCAGGGCCCGCATCACTCAGGACTCACCCTTAATGTTGCCCAGGCTGAACTGGCCGGGCTGGGAAGTTTGGACAAAAGTTCTGACAAAGTAGTCGCAGCGCTGGTTCCTGTGGGAGTGGGAGAGAGGTGTGGGTGAGGGGAGATGCGGGCTTGGCCCCTCTAGGCTGGACAAGGTGGGAGCCAGGGTTGCCGCTGGAGGGGCTGGGATTCCGCAGCCCTGGGTCCAGCCCAGCCCATCCCCGCCGCAGCAGGAGGCCTGGTCTGTCCCTCTGTGCTCTCCCGCTGCCCTGCCCGGGGCCCTGCCTCCAGCACCCACTGTCCTCCGTCTGCAGGGCTGTCTCCCCTCGGCGGCCTTCCTGTACACAGTCCTCCCCACCCTGGGCCTTTGTCCCCTCCTTTTGTCTTGCTGTTTCCCTCTGTAACCCCTCCTGGGCGATTCATCTCGCCATGTCCTTGGCTCCCGAGAGCCGATCTCCCCAAACCCGTCCTTCTTATGCCCCTTGTGCCCAAATGCTCCAGCGCCCGCCCGGCATCCCCCCCCCCCCCCCGCCTCCAGGTACCAGGGCCAGAAACCCACAGGAGCTGGTGAGCCTGGCACCCCACCATTCCTCTTCCCCCTGCAACCAGAGGGGCCCTGTCTTCTCGCCAGATCCCTTGGGTGCCGGTGCCTGAGGCCCCAGCAATGTGGTGCCCACCCCGGCCAGGCTGCTCATGGCTCGCGGATGCCCGAAGGAGCGGCTGTCTCTTACTCAGAGTCCGCCAGCCCCTGCCGTGAACCCCGTGCCCCTCCTTCCAAGGCAGATCGGTTCCCCCAAGGCCCAGCCAAGAGGTCATCTCGCAGGTACCCCCCAGTGAGGTCCTGGCGGGGTTCCAGGCTGGGGCCAGGGACCCTCCTCCCACTCCGAACTCCCCTGCTCTCTGCCTTGTTTCCTGAGGACTGTCCGTGCGCATCCCTCCTGCTGTCTGTGTGCGCACAGAAGGGACCAGTAAACGCTGACATAATGAAGGAAGGAAGGAAGGAGGACACAGGTCTCTGAGTCCAGTGCTGACGAGAGGAGGAGTGACTGCCTGTCTGCTTGGCTGTGACATCAGTCTGTCTCTCAGAGCCCCTCCTCCACGCAGCCCCCAGGTTCCCATGCTCCCGGGAGATGCGGCTCTCACCTGAGCAGGGTGGAGGTGACATTGTAGCTGCGGTCTTCTTTCAGCTCGTAGTTGGTGGTGTACATCTTAAAATCTTTGTCTTCCTTTGAAATGGCATTCCCTGCCAGGCCCACGACATACCACTTCCCCTGGAACTGCAGGGGGCGGGTGACAGGCCGAGCTCTGTCCCTGCACCCATCTCTGGGCAGCTGGCTCAGAACCAGGAGCGCCTCTACCAGGGCCGCAGGACTCCTGATGGGGACTCGGGCCTGCACTGGGCCTGCACTGGGCTTGCACTGGGCCTGCAGTGGGCTTGCACTGGGCCTGCACTGGGCTTGCACTGGGCCTGCACTGGGCCTGCACTGGACCTGCACTGGGCCTGCACTGACAAAGCCAGCAGGAGCTGGAGGCTGTGGGCCAGAGGGAGCCCGGAGTCTGGCAGAAATGGAGTGACCATGGGCAGTGGGACTGAAGATGTCCCCACCTGGCAGGGACTGTGGAGATTATGGGAGAGAAGGTGGACCTAGGCAGGTCAGCTAGGCTGGGTGGGGGTGGAGGTGGGGGTGGGAGCATGGTTTCCATCAGGAGGCATAAGGGTAGGCTGAGCTGAAACCTGGGCCCATCCAGTCCTAAATGTTCTCTAAGACTCGGCCTCAACTCTTTTCTGCTCCCACTGTTCCGGGGGTCCTCCCCACAGCTGCCCACAGGTTCCTTACCTGGTCATCTTGGAAGTTTGGCTGCAGCGGGACCCTGGACAGAGGTGGGGCTGGGATCAGGTTTGGGGTGGAGTCCTGGGCCTGGGTCTGCAGGGCCCCCAGTAGGGTGAGGCCCAGCCATAGGAGACTGCGGGGCATGGTTGCAGGGCTGAGGCAACTGGGCAGCTGCTGAGCCGGGCAGGTGGTGCAGGAGAAAGAGGCAAGTGAGGAGGCTGGCCTGGGGGCCCTATTTAAGGTCCCCGCTCTCCCGCTCCCCCTGGGGCGGAGTGGTATGTCCTTTGCCAAATTCAGGAAGGGTTACATAACTGCCAGCAACTCCTCTACCTTACGGAACATTCGGTGAGATTTCTGGCCCTTTCCCCCTGGTCAGGATTGTGCAAGGTGGAGGTGCAGGAAGGCCAGGGGGGACCCGGGGGACTTTCCCCAGAGCGCCACACCTCTCCTGCCCTTCCTTCCACTCTGTGTTCAGTGGCCCGATCTGTCACCTCTGACCTCCAGGAGTCCCTGTTCTGGCCAAGGCGAGGGTGGGGGGGGGGGGGGGGGGGGGTGTGTGTGTGTGGGCAGCTGGAAAGTGGGATGAGATCCTCAGCACAGTGAATGCAGAGGAGGCCCTGTTTCCTGGTTCTCAGAAGGTGCAGGGAAGGGTGGGGCAGCTGGAAATGAACATTCCTGACAGGGAAGGACATAGACTTCTGAGCTCTCAGAGGCCTCCCCCCGCCAGCCCTGGCACAGGGGAGACCCCTTCCTCAGACGCCCATCTGGAAGGGCCCCCACCTGGAGTTGCCCCTCCCCCTCCGTGCCCCATGTGCAGGAGTGGCCCCCCTGTGGGCCCCGAGACCCCAAGCCGGGCGCTCCAGCCGCACATGGAGCGGCTCAGCTGCATCCTGGAGCCGGGACAGTGAGGGGTGCGCACTGCTGGCCGGGGCTGGGCCTCAAGCCGCTCTCCACCTACTGCTCTGACCCCCGGGGCTTCTGCTCCCAGGGAGTGCAGGACTTGGCCTCGCCCTTGAGGGTCGCTGAGACCACCCACCATCCCTGGCCACAGCCTTGGTCTGTGCAGTCCCGTGGCCCAGGCCTGGATTCCCAGAAGTGTTCCTGCCATGGCTGATTCCCGCAGGAGAAACCTCCATCCTGGCGAGCAGGCTCCTCCCTGGGGCTCTGGCTGTCCCTGGGAGAGGTGACGGGCTCAGCCCCTGGGCTATGGCTCCCGATGCCACTGTGAGGACAGAGGCTGCCTGCAGTCTGACCTGAGGGGGATCTGGGGGTGTCCGGGCCTCAGGACACTGACAGGGACCCTGGGCTCTACCCACCACCTGCCGCTCTGGACCCAGCACCCCCAGCCGGGCTTGGGGCAGCAGTCCCAAGAGAAGGGGCTTTGTGGGGAGTTCTGAGCTGATGGGTGGGCTGCAGCCTTGGCCATCCTGACCGAGAAGCCCCCTCAGGCCCTGGCCAGGCTGCCCGTCTGGGTGAAGAAAGGCAGGAAGTGGAGATGAGCAAAGCTTCCATGATGTGGCCACCAAACCCGCGTGCCCTCCAGGCACAGTGGCCACCCCCGCCCCCCCACCCCCACCCCTGCCTCTCCTCCCGCCAGCGGGCCAGGCTCCACCCAGCCACTCTCTTTGACCTTAAAAGGGATCTTTGAGCCTTTGGTGACTGTTGGATGTGGGGGAGACTGACGGTGGAGCCCCAAAGAATTTTAACTAGGGAGGGGCAGTGCCCTGGATCAACAAGGAGTCACTGGGTAGACTTTTTTTTTTTAAATATATCTTATTGATTTTTTACAGAGAGAAAGAGAGAGGGATAGAGAGTTAGAAACATCGATGAGAGAGAAACATCGATCAGCTGCTTCCTGCACACCCGCTACTGGGGATGTGCCCGCAACCAAGGTACATGCCCTTCACTGGAATCGAACCTGGGACCCTTGAGACCGCAGGCCGACGCTCTATCCACTGAGCCAAACCGGTTAGGGCCGGGTAGACTCTTAAAGCCAGGGAGTAGATGGCCCATGCTCCCTCGTATGAATTATGAAGGGGTAGGACAGGGTCTGCAGCATGAGCAGACCAGGGCCAGGTGCCTGCGAATCTCTGCCCACCCCTCACCCCCTGTGCTCTCTGCCCACCCCTCACCCCCTGTGATCCCTGCCCACCCCTCACCCCCTGTGCTCTCTGCCCCCCCCTCACCCCCTGTGATCCCTGCCCACCCCTCACCCCCTGTGATCCCTGCCCACCCCTCACCCCCTGTGCTCTCTGCCCACCCCTCACCCCCTGTGCTCTCTGCCCACCCCTCACCCCGTGATCCCTGCCCACCCCTCACCCCCTGTGCTCTCTGCCCACCCCTCACCCCCTGTTCTCTCTGCCCACCCCTCACCCCGTGATCCCTGCCCACCCCTCACCCCCTGTGCTCTTTGTCCACCCCTCACCCCCTGTGATCCCTGCCCACCCCTTACCCCCTGTGCTCTCTGCCCACCCCTCACCCGCTGTGATCCCTGCCCACTCCTCTCCCCGTCAGTGCAGCCTTGAGCGCCCTGTGTTACTGACCCTCTGATGGCATATGTGCCTGAGCCCCGTGAAGGTCTCTCTATAAATAAGATTCCGGCGGTGACTGTGGAGCTCTACTTGTCTTCCCGCGCCCAAGACCCGCCTGGTGAGTTCCCTTGCTGACTAACTGCACCTGCCCAGCTGGAGTGGCCTCTTTCCTTGCCCTCTCCTTGCCCTCCATGTATGGGGACCCCTTTGGGAAACAACAGGGGTCCCAGGACAGTCATGGCTGCCACCGGGGCAGACTCAGTGCTGGGCTGGTTGGACTGGAGGGCAGGGGACCAGCTGAGGTTGCTTCTTGCTCCTGCCTTAGGAAGGCAGGGGCCCTGCAGGCGGGTGGGGTGAGAGGGGAAAGCTGTGCCACCTCCTCGGAGTCAGCAAGGCTTTCGGGGCGGGGTCCGCTCAGCAGGCACCCGCCTCGCACAGCTGTCAGCACTGGGGCTGGGTGAGGGGCGGGGGGTAGACTCCTGTGTGCACAGGCTGACTCCGAGGGCTCCAGGGCGGACGGGACCCTGGAGGCCCCACTCCCCGGCCACCCGCTTCCCACTGGGCCTCGGCACCTGGTCAAGGAGGGAACTCTCAGGTGCACCCTGCCCAGAGCTGGGCAATCCCTAGGCACAGGGCCTTCCAGAATGGCCTGCACCGCTTCCCCTTGGCCCATCACAAGCCGCAGGGAAGCTTTTGGGCCACGGCCAAGTCCCACCCCAGGTCCATTTAGCAATGGCAGGAGCTACACACCATCTTCACGTGGGTTTCTCTGTGGCGAGAAGCCAGGAGAAATCTGGCGGCTTCAGACACCCTCCCGCCCCCCCTGGCTGGCAGGTGGCCCTCCCCTCTCCACAGGCCCGAGATGCGAGGCTCCCACGGACACAGTGGCCTGTTCTCCCAACCGCAGGGCCCAGGCCCCGGGCCGAGTGTAATCCCTTCCGGGTGCAGCGAGTGTTCCCTGTGCTGACTGCATGTCAGGAATCCAGTCTAACGCCCTGGACTGGTCCCCGGAAACGTGTGAGCAGCGTTCAGCCACGGGTGGTTGGGGAACAACAATACCCTCTGAGGTGCCTGAGGGCTGGGCAAGGGGTGCCTGGGCAGCGGGTCACTAGGCTTCTAGGCGCCCGGGACCACGTGGAGGAGACGCCGACGGCCCCGGGGGCCAGTCACAGCAGCGGGGACTCTTGGTGTCCACAGATGGGCCCCCCTTGGCCACTGCAGGTCCAAACACCCAGGAGGGGCAAGGCCTGCTCCTCTCGGGCCTTGGCTGGACTCTCAAGTTTCTAGAAGCAGTTTTCCAGCCCCCATGCCCATCTCTCAACTCGGGGCTCAGCTGGGCTCACGTGAGCATTTCCTGGCTCCTGCCCCTTCCAGGTGTTGGGGACCCTGTTTATGGAAAAGCTCTAAAAGGCAGCCCCTCCCACACCCCCGGCCACAGGCCCACCGGATTCCTCCCCATAGAGGGGTCCACGGGGCAGGGGGCAGGGGGCAGGGGGCAGTAGGCTCTGCCCACGGTCCGGGTCCAGGGTGGTCTCCTGCTCTTGGTGTTCGGTGCCTGGCCCAAGCATGTCCCTTACCCGGCCGCTCCTGCTGTCTCTCTGGGGCCTGGACTCACGCAGGTGAGCGGACCCATGAGGACCAGGATGGGGACCGGAGGCCACGGCTCTGAGCAGGGTCCGCAGTGGGCTGCACCATCCAGCTGGGGCGGGTGGGTGCTGGGCTCCGTGGAGCTGGACAGAGTGCCGGTCATGGCCTCTGCTCCTCGCAGCTCTGCACCGCTCCTGCCTGGGCTGTCGCCCCAGCACCAAGGGAAGGGCACCTCCACCTCGGCTACTGCCAGGTCGCTCCCTGCTCCCTGCTCCCTGGGCCTACGCTGGGCGTCTGTTGGACACCAGCAAAGGTGGCTTGTGTGGGGTTGGATCTGGCTCTCACGAAAGGCTGTTTCTATCTGCATCCTCCATGCCCAGGACGCACCAGGAGAATGCCCAGCCTAGGGGGCAGGTTAAATGAGAACTGACATCTGCCCGAGTGCTCCTCCCCCCTCCCCATTCATCTCAGTGGTTGAGGAAGTGGGGAGGGGGTCCCAGCTGGGCTCCTCCTCCTGTTGGGAACCAAGTGTTTATTTCAGATGTGGTTGGTTCTGTGGCCGAGGCTCTCCCTCTGGGGGAGAGGATCCTGAGCAAGGCTGTGACAGGCAGTGAGGACAAGGTCAGGCTCCCGAAGGAGAAGGGGCCTACCTGGGCCAGTGGAGTGGGGCGAGGGCCGGGCTGGAGAGCAGAGAGGGGGAGGCTGCCTGGAAGGGGTGCTGCTCCGTAAGGGCAGGCAGGGAAGGGTGACTGGTCTTTCCGTGGCCTGAGGGGTCTTGGGGAGGATCCATCTGAAAAGCAATCCTGGCTGAACAGTAGTCTGGACACTCTGCAGCCCCCACCCCCACCCCCACCCCCACCCCCGCCCAGAACACCAAATCTAGCGTGAAACAGGCTCTTAATGCCTTGTCGGGCTCACAATAAATGAGGCACATCCACAGCCTTAAGTGTGTGTTTTATAATAAGAAAAGGTCATGAGTAAAGTGTCCAAAGTAAAAAATTTAGAAAAGAAACTACAGAATAAACCCAAAGAAAATAGAAGGCAGAAGTAAATGAAGAGTGGAAATTAATAAAATACAAAGATACATTAGGAATATCAAAGCCAAAAGTTGACTCCTGAAAAAGACTAATAACATAAGTAGAAATTTGGGGGGAAAATTATTCTCAACACAGAAAGGTAGAAGACACAAATAAACAGAAGTAGAAATTTTAAAATCTATAACTAGGTTTTACAGACATTAAAGGGTAAGACAATGTTATAGGTAATGAAATGGGAAATACTCAAACTTGTGGATTCATGAAGTAAAAGAAAGAGAGGCCCTAAAACATCCACAGAGTTGGCAAGTTAGTAACAAATCTTCCCACAAAGAGAACAGCAGCCATGCAATATATTCGGAGAGCACAATTAGACAAGTTTAAAAAATAAACTCTTAATTTTGTTTCAGATTTATAGAAAAATTGTGAAAATAGTTTGCAGAGCTCCCATATATCCTGCATGGTTTCCCTTATTTTTAACATCTTCTATTAGTGTGACATGTTACAATTAATGAGCCACTTTTGATACATTATTAACTAAAGTCCATGCTTCACTCAGATTTCCTTGGGGAATTTGTACATAATGTCCTGTTCCTGTTTCAGGATCCCATCCAGGATACCGTGTTGTTGTTTTTTTTAATGACCAGACAATTACATATAACAATACACACTTAAAAAATATATATATTTTTTAATTGATTTCAGAGAAGAGAGAAGAAACATCAGTGATGAGAATCATTGATTGGCTGCCTCCTGCACGCCCCCTACTGGGGATCGAGCCTGCAAGCCTGGAAAGTGCCCTGGACCAGTGCCTGGGACCCTTCAGTCTGCAGGCTGAGGCTCTATCCGCGGAGCCAAACCAGCCAGGGCGATCCCAGGTTACATTTAGTTGTCATGCCTCATTAGGCTCTTCTTGGCTGTGACGCTTGCTCAGACTTTCCTTATTTTATTGATTTCAGAGAGGAAGAGAGAGGGATAGAAACACCAGTGATGAAAGAGATCATTGATTCGCTTCCTCCTGCACACACCCTTCTGGGAACCGAGCCCTCAACCCCCGCATGGGCCCTGGCCGAGAGCTGAACCCTGACCTCCTGGTTCATAGGTGGATGCTCAAACACTGAGCCACACCAGCGGCAGCCTTCCTTGGTCTTGATGACCTTGACAGCTTTGAGGGCACTGCTCATGGATTTTGCAGAATCTCTCCCCATCGGGACTTGTCGGGCGTTCTTCTCAGGATTAGACCGGGGTTACGAGTTTTCGGAGGAAAACTACAGAGGTCGAGTGCCATTTGTTCCACATCGCATCAGGGGAAGACGCTAGCCACGGGACTGGTCACTGCTGGTGATGACCTGGACCGCCGGGCTGCGGGGTGTGGTCCCACGGCGCTGAGCCAGGTGGCGGGTGCGCACGCGGCGCCCGTTCCCCCCGCTTCTGTAAACAGTTCTCGGTGTGAGGCTTCCAGAGACCCACTCGCAAGAGCTCACCGAGACGGGAGTCTGCAGCGACAACCCACCCAGGAGCGAGGGGTGGGAGGGCTCCGCGGCCCCTCACAAACCCCTATCCCGCCCCGACTCCTCTTCCCAGGAAGGTGCCCCGAGAAAGCGACAGGTCGTTCCTGCAGTCCCCCTGTCACCGGCTTCCTGAGTCCGCCTCACCGGCAAGCCCAGGTCCCCGAGGGGGCCCGATGCTGCGGGCTCAGGCTCTTCCAGGACCGCGCGATGATGGAACGCGGCGACCTCGTGCGGACCGGGGGCCCTGGTGGAAGCTGAAACGGTGGGACCTCGCGAAGTAAAGCGGCGGAAGCCGCCCGGCCCGCTCCAGGGCCCGGAACCTTCAGGCCCGAGCCCCGCCCCGCCCCGCCGCCAAAACTCCACCCCCGCGCGCCCCGCCCCGCTCCCCAAACTCCACCCCTGCTCCCAGACCACGCCCCCTGACAGCGCCCCGCCCCCGTCCAGCCGTGTACCAGCTAGGCTCTCGCGCCTGCACCTCGAGCAGAGGTCCTTGCTGTCCCCGCCACTAGACTCCGCCCTTCTCACCCATAACCAGTCCAGCCCTCAGACCTTGGCCGCAAGGCGGGGCCAACTCGGGTCTGCCCGGTGAGAAGCCTGGATGGTGGAGGCTGGGGCCCCCAGCAAGGGCGAGCCAGCCCGGCAGAGGGTCGGTGCAGACTGGGACCCTCATTCCTCCCCCATCTGCCCCATCCAACCTCTGGGCACTTGCGGGTGGGAGAGTCGGCGCCTCCGCGTGGGCGAAATCTTAGACACCTGGTTTCCTAAAGGTCCCCAATATGTAGGGAAGATTTTATGGTTCAAGCCATAGGAGACGTGGTGCAGCGGCGCGGGAGGGCAGAAAGAGCTGAGTCTCTGGCGCCCTCCTGCTGTTAGTCGATGTGGCGGTTTCGCGGCCCTCAAGGATCGAAGCCGTGACTCCCTGACACTCCGAAGGGTTCAGTCTCTTTCGATTGGGTGCATGAGGCAGAAATGACTAACCACATGTTACGGCCAATGTTGGGACTCAGAGGCCACACCGGGAGCTGTGTGGCCGATCAGAGGCTGGCGCCCGGGTCACCACCGAGAACCATTTCATCTACGTATTGAGGAGCCGGGGCACTTAGCGACTCCCAGACACCCCCGGAGGTGTTTCCGCCGCTCTGCGAAGACTATGAAAGCTGGGCCCAACCTGCAACGGCTGTGCCTCTCTGCCTGCTCGCTCGGCGTCACTGTTGCCCCGGCAACCTGCCGGTCACCAGACACCCGGCCCTTTAAGGGAAGCCTAAGCCCGGCGGTCTTGGTTTCGCGCGCCCGCCCGCGGCGCCGGTAGAGAGAACATGGCCCAGGCTGCACGAGTGCTGTGGCCCCGCGGGCGCGCTCTGGCCTGGAGGCTGGGCGGTAGCCCGGCGCCCCGACTCCCAGTGCAGAGCCGGGCTGGCTTCGCAGGGGCGGCGGGAGGTCCGGGTCCCGCCGCCATCGCCCGCAAGGGGAGCCGGCGGCTCCTGGGGAGGGCGGCTCTGGCCCTGGGGGGCGCTGTGGGGCTGTACTACACCGCGCGGTGGCACCTGCGCGCCCAGGACCTCCGCGCCCAGCCCTCCGCCGCGCAGGTAAGCCGGGCTGCGCCGAGCTCCGCCGGTAGGGGCGCGGGGGTCAGCGCGGAACTGCGGGACTTCGGAAGCGGCCGGGTCAGGAGCGCCTCCGCTGTCCGCTCGTGACCTTGGGCCAGTGACTTGGTTTTGTCTCCAAGTCCTCAGCATCCTCATCTGTGAAATGGGCCGCGGCTGCTGCCTGCTAACTGGAATTGTCTTTGTCTTAAAGTTGTGTTTCTAATTTGTTTAAAGACTTTATAATGGGGAGATTTTGAGATCACAGAAAAGAGAAAGAGCCTCTTTCAGTTTATCCCATTCCCAACATTTTGTCGGCCCCCCATCGTCTTCAAATCCTAAGGTGCTGTTATTTATTTACTGACTAGAGGCCCAGAGCACAAAATTTGTGCATGGGTAGGGTCCTTAGGCCTGGCGGGTGATCAGGGCCAATCTGTGGGGTGACCTGCAGGGTGACTGGCAGGGCAATCAGGGTGCCCCTGCTGGCACCCGCCTTGGCTGGCTGGGGGTCTGTGGGCTGGGGGTAGCTCCTGCATTGAGCGGCTACCCCCTGGTGGTCAGGGTGCGTCATAGCAACCGGTCATTCCACCAGTTGTTCCTTAGTTGGGTCGATTTGCATGTTAGGCTTTTATTATATAGGATATTATTTTATTTATTTATTTTTTAAAATATATTTTATTGATTTTTTTTTTTACAGAGAGGAAGGGAGAGGGATAGAGAGTTAGAAACATCGATGAGAGAGAAACATCGATCAGCTGCCTCCTGCACACTCCCCACTGGGGATGTGCCCACAACTAAGGTACATGCCCTTGACTGGAATCGAACCTGGAACCCTTGAGTCCGCAGGCTGATGCTCCATCCAGTGAGCCACACCGGTCAGGGCATATTGGATATTATTATTAGCATTTTTTATGGGACCGATGACCCTTAGATTCCAGGTCCCAAGACAGGAAGGGACATGGTCGTGTTTCCCCCAGCCAGGTGGTGGTCCAGCTGCCCTTGCACTTCTTTGTACATTGCACCAGCACAGCCTTTCTCTGCTGTGCCCCCCTCCCCCCGTCCCCATCCACCCGCATATTCCTGCACCCAGGGTGTCGGGGGGCCTGGGAGGGGAGTAGAGTTCTCTGTATCTCCCTGCTCACTTCCACGGGTCCAGCCTCAGTTTCCCACCTGAGCATTGAGGGCCGTGGACTGCAGCTGTGACTTTCAAACAAGAATGTGCAGCAAGCTCACATGGTGCTTTCCTGCAGAACGTGCAGGATCCAGATCCTGGCCCAAGGCCCCAATACAACCCTTCCCCTTAGAGACTGGAGGTAGACCCCACTCTGGCCACGCTGGGGAAGGGATGGGGGGCACTGGATTGAGGCTGAGCCTCCAATGTTCATTCCTCCCTGCCGCCCCCCTATTCCTCCCCATTTTCTCAGGGTCATCTTAGAAGGCTCCTCTGGGAAACAAGTTTGCTTGGGGCAGGGCCTGGGTTTGGGGGCAGGGCCTGGGAAACAGGCCTCAGAAGCCCCTGTCACTCTGCCCCCTCCCCATCCAGCTCTCCCTGTCCGACCGCCTGCAGCTGACTCTGTACCAGTACAAAACGTGTCCCTTCTGCAGCAAGGTCCGCGCCTTCCTCGACTTCCACGCCCTGCCCTACCAGGTGGTGGAGGTGAACCCTGTGCGGAGGGCGGAGATCAAGTTCTCCACCTACAGGAAGGTGCCCATCCTGCTGGCCCAGGAAGGAGAGAGCCTGGTGAGCTTCGGGACGCCCACCATGTCCTGGGGGGTCCTGGGGTCCTCCCCGAGTCAGCCCTGGAAGGAACGCGGGCTCTTGGCCTCAGCTGAGGACAATGAGGGGAAAGTAGCTGGTATACAGTAGGTGCTCAGTAAATGTAGGCTGCCACCCTTCCCCACCAACACCAGACACCAGCCTGGTCTACGGGATCCAGAGCACCACAGAGCTTAGCAATGTGGGTTCTGAAATCAGCGAGGTCTGGGTTCACGATGTGGCTCTGCCCCTCCCCGGCTGTGTGACTTGGGGCCAGTCACTTAGCCTCTCTGGGCTTGCTTCTTCATCAGTCAACAGAGGACCATACTCTCCAGGTTGTAGGGAATGCCTGGCTCCTAGTCTGTAGCTTCTGGCATCCACCCTGCCCCTCATGCCCTGGAGGCCAGGTAGGTGGAGCAGGCAGGGCCTAGACCAGGGGTGGGCAAACTACGGCCCGCGGGCCGAATCCGGCCCGTTTGAAATTAATAAAACTAAAAAAAAAAAAGACCGTACCCTTTTATGTAATGATGTTTACTTTGAATTTATATTAGTTCACACAAACACTCCATCCATGCTTTTGTTCCGGCCCTCCGGTCCAGTTTAAGAACCCATTGTGGCCCTCGAGTCAAAAAGTTTGCCCACCCCTGGCCTAGACCCTGGGTCCTCCCCACACCCTCCTCCCCATTAACCACACTTGGGTCTCCCCTCTGATCGGCTGCCCTGAGAGGGGGGCTGTATCCCGGGGGTGGGGAGAGCTCAGTGGACATGGGTTATAGGGGTAACCCCCCAGGAGTGGACCAACAGTAGCCTGGTTCCTCCCGGCCAGTTTCTGAGGAATGCCTGGGCACGGTGTTGCTAGAGCCCTCCACCCCCATCCCCCCTCCACCCCCATCCCCATCTAAATCACCCTCTTCTCCTCCAGCAACAACTGAACGACTCCTCTGTCATCATCAGCGCCCTCAAGTCCTACCTGGTGTCGGGGTAAGGAGCTCCTTGGACGCTGTCTCCGGGGTGGCCTCACCTGAGTCCTGCGTGGGGAGGGGGGGCTGCTGCTGGCATTTCCAGAACGGGTCATGGGCGTCCCACTCAAAGCCTCCCCCGTCCTCTCCTTCGCACATCTCCCCCCGTCAGGGAAGTGCTCCGATGTCTGCCCAGATCCCTCGTGCTGCACTTTTATGGGTTGGTTCCGGCTTCACCCCGGGGCTGGGTCAGGCCGGGTGGATATTCACCCCAAGAAGGCGAGGGCTGGGTCTCCTGGAGGAGGAAGGAGTTGGGTGAGACTCTGGATGTCTCCTGAAGGCAGCCCCTGGATGTCATCATCACCTACTATCCACCCATGAAGGCCACCAATGACCAGGGCAAGGAGGTGACCGAGTTCTGCAACAAGTACTGGCTCATGCTGGACGAGAAGGAGGCCCAGCGCATGTATGGCGGGAAGGAGGCCAGGACGTGAGTGGGGCTGGGGCTGCCCGGGAAGGTGGCATGGCGGGGGGGGGGGGGGGGTCTTCCCCAGAAGGGACCGGGCTGAATGAGGTGCTGTGCGGGGTGAGCAGCGAGGGAGGCCACCAGAGCTGGGCCGGGTCTCTATAGGGACCTGCTGCCTAGGCCTCGGCTCCCATCATGCACTGGGAGGGCTAGACAGTGGGCCTGCTCCCCACCTCCCAGGCCCCGGCTGAGGAAGCCCCCTGGCCAGCCCCGTCCCCTGCTTCCCCACAGGGAGGAGATGAAGTGGCGGCAGTGGGCGGACGACTGGCTGGTGCACCTGATCTCCCCCAACGTGTACCGCACGCCCACCGAGGCCCTGGCCTCCTTCGACTACATTGTCCGGGAGGGCAAGTTCGGGGCTGTGGAGGGCGCCATGGCCAAGTACGTGGGCGCAGCTGCCATGTACTTCATCAGCAAGCGGCTCAAGAGCAGGTGATGGTGCATGTGCGTGCGCGTGCGCGACGGCCTTTTCACTGGCCTCACCTGGGCCTGGGTCGGCGTTTCCTGATGGACCACCCCTGTCCCTGCCCAGGCACCACCTCCAGGATGATGTGCGTGAGGACCTGTACGAGGCTGCCAACAAGTGGGTGGCAGCTGTGGGCAAAGACCGGCCCTTCATGGGGGGCCAGAAGCCCAACCTGGCCGATCTGGTGAGCGTGGGGGTGGGGAGGGGGTGCGCAGACTGAGGGTCCCGTCGGTGGGCCGGGGAAGCCCAGGCAGGGAGAGTCCAGGTGCAGGCAGTGCTGCCTCTCCAGCTCCCGCACATCGGAGGCACCGGCTCCATGTTACCAGGGGCGTAAGGAAAACCAGCTACGGGGAACCGTCTTGGTCCCCGTAACTGACGAGTGTAATGGAGGGGTTGGCTTCAGGCCCAGCTGGATCCCGGGGCCCAAGTGGTGTTACCGGGGCTCAGTGCCCTGTTGCATTCCAACTCCTTGGAGGTGACCTCAGCCCAAGGCCAGCCTTTGTCCAGTGCCCCAGGCTCTCCCAGCAGAAGTCCTGGCTTCCACGTCCACGGTGAAGCATCCCTGTAGCCAGCGTGAAACATTGATTGGCAGGCCCAGCAGGCCCAGCGCTGTGGGGAGGTCCCAGGATCTGAGAGTGGGGGGAGGCGTTCTCTCAAAGGAAACTCTGGTGGGGGGTGTTGTCCAAAAGCGGGGTGTGTGTATGGGGCAGGCCAAACCTGCAGTTACCCCCCTGCTTCGTTCAAAGCCCCGCGGCCAATGAGCCCTGCAGTGGGTTTTGGAGCTCGCAGCGCGGGGAGCGGGCCCCAGGGCACGCAGCTGGCAGGTGGCGGGCAGGTCTGGATGCCCTCTGTGCCCACCCCAGGCGGTGTATGGTGTGCTGCGCGTGATGGAGGGCCTGGAGGCCTTCGACGACCTGATGCGGCACACCCGCATCCAGCCCTGGTACCTGCGGGTGGAGAAGGCCATCGCCGCCGAGGCCCTCCACTGAGGCCCCCCCACCCCCGGAGGAACCGGAGACCCAGGAGACGCAGCTGCCGGCACCAGGGCCACTGAGCCAACACTCGGCGATGCTGTGCAGGGTGACGGCCATTCTACCTCTTGTCCACGCCCACCCCACAGCATTCTGTCTAACACTGGACACCTGCGGGGGCCCTGGGGTGCTGGGGGACACAGCCCCTGAGGGGCACAGGGAGGCTACCTCCCTCCCCCCGGCCCCGGGCTCTCAGCGGCTGCCCTGCCTAACCCTGGGGGTGGGAACTGGGTTGGGCCCCGCCTGGACAGGGAAGTAGGGACATCCCGGGTGAGGGAGAGCCCCCTCCTTGGCTCCTCATGTTCCCGCTCTTCCTAAGCATCCCCCGCTCCCCTCCTCCACCCACCCACCCGGTCTCTGTCTGTTTGAAATAAAGAAAAAGATTCAGCCCTGTTTGCCCAGTGTTCCTAAGTGTCAGGCCGGGGTGAAAGGCTTAGTGGCTTCATGTCACATGATCCCTGGGACACCAGAGGGAGGCCCAGAGGTGGCCCAGCGTGTGGTCGCTGAGGGACTGACTGGGACTCTGGGTGGTGCCCTCTCTGAGCCTCAGTTTCCTCGTCTGTTAAATGGGCATAATGGTCGTCCCACCTCGGGGAAGTGGGGAGGGTTCGATGACAAGATGCGGGTCAAGTGCACAGAAGGTACCGGGCTCAGGAGGGGCCGGAGGGCCTCCAGTCCTGCTCTACAGACCAGACTCCCAGGGCCCCTGGCAGCAGTGGCCTCCCCAGGCTTTGCTCCCAGGCCTGGGACTTCACAGAGATGGACGCTGGGACGGAGTCTATAGGGAGAAGCCAGGTTGGAGTGAGGGGGGCTGTGGGTGGAACCCCCTTCTGAGCAGGGTGCCCTGGGCCAGGGTGTCGTTCCCCTGCTTTTGACAGATGAGTGGCCTGGTGGCGGCCATGGCAGCCCTCCCGAGGCCAGAAGGGTGGCTGGTATACCCAGTTTCACCCCCTGGGCCCTTTGTTGGCGTGGGGGGTGATTGGGCAACCCTCCCACTCTGGAGAGTCTTGAAATTTTATTCTTTAAAAAAAACAATGCATGCTCCCCATAACAGCTTGACATTTGAACGCGGTGGCCTCAGTTTCTCCCACGGGGCATGGCTGCCGCCTGCCTGTCCTGGCTCCCGTGGTGGGCATCTGTCTTTGCCATGCTGGCTCCTTCCTGGCTGCTGAGGGCTGCACTGCACGTCTGACCCCAGCCCACCAGCCAGGCCCACGTGGCGTATTGGGGTGGCCCCCCTCCCGGTCCCCCTGGGAGCGTTGAGTGCAGGGCTGTGGGAGGAAGGAGAGAAGCCCAGCTGAGGCCACAGCAGCCTATGGCATGAGGAGCCACAGAAGCTGCCTCTGAGGGCCAATAGGTGTCGCGGGCCCCGAGCCACCACTGTGTCCAGAATGCTGTCCCCGCGTCATTGCCCAGACCTTAAATCCCAGGGGCCTTGGCTCCAGGGGCCCAGGGTGGCCTGCGGACCCCAGCCCACTCTCCCTTCCCTCCCAGCCAGCCTTTTCCTGCCTCTGCAGACCTCGCCCGGGGCGGCTTGGTACCTTCCGGCTGCTCAAGGAGGCACTCACCTCTCCGTTGTCTCAGCCCCGAAGGGAGCATCGGATGTGCCTGGCGTGGGACAAGGTGTCCGCCTCCCGTCCATGACGTCGTGGCCAGGGCAGGGTCTCACCGCCACAGCCCACCCTGTGCTCCCAGCCCTTTCTGCCCCTGCTCAGCCCAGCGATGTCTCCCAGCCTCAGCTTCCCCTTGAGGCCCAGACCCACTAAGGAGGCTCGGGGGCGGGCGGGGTCCCTGCCACCAGTCTCCCCTCTCCCATTTCCATATATCACAGGTGCTCCTCCGTCTCCCCGTTTCACAGAGGAGGCTATGGCTGGTGGCTAAGCCATGCTGGGGGCAGGGGCCCGACTCCTGACTAGAGCTCTCCCCCGGGCTGCTGCAGGCACAGGGGAACACGCCTGGTCATCCTGACACTCACTGGTCACCTTGATGAGAAGTCTCAGGACTGTGCCAGCTAGACCCCGTCTCTGGGCCTGGGGCTGGAGGCTGGCTAGTCAACCCAGGGCCACCCTGGGGCACCAACTGAGCCGAGCTGCTTTCACCAAGTATCCTGCCCTCCACCCGCCACAACTCTGCCTCAATTTCCCTGGGTTCCTAGGCCTGGCCCCTGGGCATGTTTTCCCATAACCACCAGAGGGCGGTGGAGGCTGCGAAGCCCCGCAGGAGATGGAAACCAGGTCCGGTGCTGCCACCTTGAGGCCAACTCTTGCATTGCACCTTCTCTGGGCAATCTTCATTATCCAGGGACTCCATTTGCCCTTCTGTAAAATGGGTTTAGCACTCAAGGGTCTGAAGGTGGGCAAGTAGAAAAAGCCACGCCTCCCAGGGATAAGGGGCTCAAGCCAGCAAACCCTGCCCCATCTTGGTCATGTTCAAGTTCCCTATGGCCTTGATGGTAGCAGAGGGCCTGAGGTGGGAACCCTGCCACTGCTCCCTGTGACCTTGGGCAAGCCCCATCCTTGCTCATCCTCCAACAAGCCCTTGGAGGCCAGCTAACCTCCATGGGGTTGGCACCATCAGAGTCAATGCACCAGGAGTCCACATGTGAGAGGCGTTTTTATGCAGCCAGGGGGTCTGCTGTCTGTTCTCAGAACACACTCCCTGCTCTGTTCCCAGCCAGGTTCCCAGAGCTCATGGTCAAGAGCTTCAGGGAGCAAAAATGGGAGCGAGTCCTGAGAGCAGTGAGAGTTCTTCTCCCTGGGTGTCAGAGGGCTCCCTGGGGAGGGCCAGCCACAGCCCAGGCTTTAGAGATCGGGAGGTTCTAGCTTGCTTATTTGTTTGTTAGATTGTTATATTTTTAAATTTCATCTGGATTTATGCAAATAATTAATGTTTTCTGTACATAAATAGAACTGGCAGATAAGTAAAAAGATGTACCAACTGTTACCATCCCACCACCCAGAGATATAACCACTTAACATTTTTTTTGGAGTACGGCCTTCTAGCTTAATTTTTATGCAGGCTACATAGAGCACACATATATATTTATATTTTATGTTATTTATTGCTTTTTTTTATTGTTGTTAATCCTCACCCCAAGGATATTTTTTCCATTGATTTTTAGAGTGGAAGGAAGGGGCAGAGACAGAGAGAGAGAAACATCAATGTGAGAGAGACATATCGATTGGTTGCCTCCCTCATGCACCCTGACCAGGGCACCCTGACCAGGACCGGGGATGGAGCCCACAACCAAGGTACACACGCTTGACCGGAATCGAACCCGAGACCCTTCAGTCCTTGTGCCGATGCTCTAACCACCGAGCCAAATGGCTAGGGCTATATTTACTATTTTATATGTAATATATATCTAACAGTTAAATTTGGTGGCAAGCACTGTTTTAAGTTCTTCATACATATTACCTCATTTAATTCCTACAACATCCCTCTGCAGTAGGTTAGGTACAAATATTTACAGATGAGGAGACTGGGGCATCAGAAAGGTTAAGTGAATTCCCTGGAATCACACAGCAAGTGGCAGAGGGAGGGTGTGAACCGGACCTCCTGGCTCCGGAGTGTGACCTTCAGCACAGTGTCACACTGCACCTCTCTCTCTAGATAAGTTTTTCTTTTATTTTTTAAAAATATATTTTTATTGATTTCAGAGAGGAAGGGAGAGGGAGAGAGAGAGAAACATCAATAATGAGAGAGAAGCATCGATGGGCTGCCTTCTGCTCATCTCCAGCCCACAGTCTGGGCATGTGCCCTGCCTGGGAATTGAACCATGACCTCCTGGTTCTTGGGTTGATGCTCAACCACTGAGTCACACCAGCCAGGCAGTTTTTCTTTATTTTACTAGTGAATAAAAATTCAGATCACACAGGAACTCCTCAAGCGTTAACCTGTTTCAGATTAGACACTGTTCTCCCTCATCATTGTTGATGATGGGGTAGAATTCCATCCCACAGTGTTCCATTGGATGACTGTTCCCTGGTTAATGTGACCGGCCGAGTGGGAAGGATTTTGTTGGGCGGCAGTGTCTAGTAGGGAGCAGGCGTTGTAGTGGCCTGAATAATGCCCCCAAATATACCCAGGTCCTAACCCTGGAACCTTGAAAGTTATCTCATGTGGCAAAAGGGAATTTGTAGATGGAATTAAATTCATGACTTTGAGATGGAGCGAGCTTCCTGAATTGCCTGTTCCTCAAAGGTAACCACAGGTGTCCTTAGAAGAGGGAGACTCGACTGCAGAAGCAAGAGGCTGGGGTCATGGAGGAGGCTGTCACAAGCCCAGCATGCAGGCCCCAGAAATCAGGATTTTAAAAAGATTCCCAGGTGATTCTAACGTGCAGCCCTGGTTGAGAACCACTGCGCTACAGCAGCCTGACCCCGACCGACCCTGGATGGGCCAGGCCCCGCCCGGTCAGTGTCCTCTGTAAAGGGAGGGGGTGGGGCTCCTTGGCAGGTACTGGCGCGGCCAACGCCCTCTCTCCTCAGCCTCCAAACTCCGTGGGGACATAAGTGCCTCCTGGGCCACGGGGCTGAGCTGGTGGGGACAGCAAGTGGTCAAAAGTGGCCATCCCTTTGCGGCCACTACCTGGCCAAGAGCCGAGAGCAGGAGGCCTGGGTCTATCTGGCTCCCCCGGGGGACTGGGCCGGGCCTCGCTCGCCTCAGTTTCCTCATTCTCGGCTCCTCCCTGCCCTACTGCGTCACCCCCCTGCCCCTTCCATCCAGCCCTGGCGGCCTCTCCGGCCACGGGGACTGGGCCTCGCCGGTCTGCTCCAGCTTCCTCGTCCGCCCGCCCGGAGGCCAGGGAGCAAGGTCCGCACCTGGGCAGCGGGCCGGGCTCAGGGCTGCCGGTCCCCTCACCCTTCCCCTGCATTCCAGCCCCATCAGACCGGGCAGATGGGGCAGCCCAGCCAGGAGCGGAGGTGGAGAACATGGCCTCAGAGTCAGCAAAGCTGGTTTGACTAGCTCAGCATTTTCCCGGCATGAACCTGGAGGGGTCCTTCCCTCTGAGCTGTAAGGAAGGTTCTGGGCTCCTCTTGCTCGTGAGGAAACTGAGGCTCAGAGGGCAGGAGATCTGCCCATGACCCCACTGCCACGGTGCCAGGATTGACTCAGGTGCCCCCCCACCCCCCAGGTTCTCTGCAGCCGCCTGGCACGGGAGAGCAGCCAGGGGCCCCTCGGGGAAGGTCCCCAGAAGTGGGCCATGGCACCGTCCCAGCCCCCGTGCAGCCCCCTGCCTTCACCCCAGGCATGCAGCACACGGAGGGAGGGACATGGTGGCGGAATTACCTCCTAGAACTGCCAGGGGCTAACCCAGCTGGTGCTCCTAAGTGTCATTCCCAGGAATTAGAGGTGACCCTTCACCTCTAGCTTCCGGAAGGAGGTTGACATGG